GGAGTTAAAGGCATAAAGCCTGTTTCATCCTCCCTCACTCTGGTCTCTTTTGATTCTCTCTTTCTTGTCACACTCTGGTCTCTGTGGTGCCTCTCTGGTCTCTCTCTCTCTCTCTCTCTCTCTCTCTCTCTCTCTCACTCTCACTCTCACTCTCTCTCACTTAATGGACTTACAGTCAGTGAGCTTTGTGTACCCTTCAGACTCATTTCAACATTAAATGTTCTACTTTGATTTGTTATACCACTATCTTTCAAGACTTTTAATCAACAATCTAGAAAAGCAGCGTTGTAAACTGCAGCCGTGGGGGAAGCACTCAACATAAAGACCCTCATGCTGCATCCATTTTGAGTTTGACTGATTTGTAGTTTGCCTGTTTCTGTCGGTGTGTACTCGACCTTCTCGTGTTTTTTCCCATTGGGGCTAAATAACCCATGAGTTACTAGAATAAAATAATATGCATCGGTGAATATCCCTCGGGTCTTCACTTCAACTCTGCTCCTTCTCCCTCCGACTCTGACGATAAAAACACTGCATTAACTTTAATAACCTCCTCGTTATGAGCGCTAACATGCTTGTTTTGCCGAGAGGAAGACCAGAGGGAATGAATAAAGGTTGTGAAACAGAGCGCCACGGACGGTTTGGATAATTTTTACATTATCGCTCTCTTTCTCTCACTCTCTCTGTCTCTCTGTCCCTCACAGTCTCACAGTCTCATAGTCTCTGTCTCTCTCACTCTTTGTCTCTCTGTGTCTCTCTCGGTCTCTGTTTCTCTCTCTCTCTATATATCTCTCTTTCTTTCTCTCTCTTTATCTCTGTATCACTCCCTCTCCCTTTCTCTGTTGTCTTTCTCTGTCTCCCTATCTCTCTCTCTCTTTCTCTCTCTGTCTCTCCTCTCACTCTCTCTCTCTTTTTCTATCTCTCTCTCTCAGTCTCTTTCTCTCACTCTTGTTCTCTATCCCTCTCTCTCCATCTCTCTCTCTTTCACTCTATCTACCCCTCAGAGTCAGGCTCAGGGTGTATGGTCAGAGAGTTTCTTCGGTACCTTGCATGTGTCGGACACGGCTGGGGTGGGGGTTGTGTCTGGAGAAGAAGGAGTGATGACTCAGGGACCCGAAGCGAGCGCTGCCCGGGACAGCAGCCCCGGCAGGTCCCCGCTCAAGGCCCCAATGCTGCCCCTAGTGTCCGGGCTGAGGGACATGTCCACGGCAGGTCAGCAGGGACGCATCAGGGACCAGGAGACGGGAAGGTCAGAAGCAAAGGGCTACGGGGGAGACAAAGAACACATTTGAAGTCAACCAAATATCTCAGTATGTACCGACCTTTCTGGTACATCTGTGTATAAGCCGCACCAGCAACATTTGAAAAGAAGTACATGGTGTCCACAAATAGGGCCTGACACCTGTCGCAGAGAGACAAGTATTTTAACTGAGAGAGAGAAAAGAGAGTGAACACGAGCAGAGAGACACAAGAAAAAGAGACAAGAGAGAGGAAGAAACAAGAGAGAGAGCAGAAAGAGAGACCAGAGAGAGACCAGGGAGAGATCAGAGTGAGACCAGAGAGGGACCAGAGAGAGACTACACTAGAGAGAGACCGGAGAGAGACCAGAGAGAGACTACACTAGAGAGAGACCTGAGAGAGACCAGAGAGAGACCAGAGAGAGACCAGAGAGAGACCAGAGAGAGACCAGAGAGAGACCAGAGACAGACAGAGACCTGAGAGAGACCATAGAAATACCAGAGACAGACCAGAGAGAGACCAGAGAGAGACCAGAGAGACCTGAGAGAGACCAGAGAGAGACCAGAGAGAGACTAGAGAGAGACCAGAGAGAGACAGAGACCTGAGAGAGACCATAGAGATACCAGAGACAGACCAGAGAGAGACCTGAGAGAGACCTGAGAGAGACCAGAGAGAGACCAGAGAGAGACCAGAGAGAGAGAGACCTGAGAGAGACCTGAGAGAAACCAGAGAGAGACCAGAGAGAAGAACTAGAGAGAGACCAGAGAGAGACAGAGACTGAGAGAGACCTGAGAGAGACCTGAGAGAGACCAGAGAGAGACCAGAGAGAGACCAGAGAGAGAGAGACCTGAGAGAGACCTGAGAGAAACCAGAGAGAGACTAGAGAGAGAGACCAGAGAGAGACAGAGACCTGAGAGAGACCATAGAGATACCAGAGACAGACCAGAGAGAGACCTGAGAGAGACCTGAGAGAGACCAGAGAGAGACCAGAGAGAGAGACCAGAGAGAGAGAGACCTGGGAGAGACCTGAGAGAAACCAGAGAGAGACCAGGGAGAGACTAGAGAGAGACCAGAGAGAGACAGAGAGACCTGAGAGAGACACCTGAGAGAGACCAGGGAGAGAGAGACTAGAGAGAGACCAGAGAGAGACGTGAGAGTGAGCTGAGAGAGACCAGAGAGAGAGAGACCTGAGAGAAACCAGAGAGAGACCAGAGAGAGACCTGAGAGAGACTGAGAGAGACCAGAGAGAGATACCAGAGAGAGACAGAGACCTGAGAGAGACCTGAGAGAGACCTGAGAGAGACCAGAGAGAGACCAGAGAGAGACTAGAGAGAGACAGAGACCTGAGAGAGACCTGAGAGAGACCAGAGAGAGACCAGAGAGAGACCAGAGAGAGAGAGACCTGAGAGAAACCAGAGAGAGACCAGAGACAGACCAGAGAGAGACCTGAGAGAGACCAGAGAGGAGACCAGGGAGAGATACCTCAGTAGAAAATAAAAAGGAAGAAGCAAAAGGAAAACAGGACAAAACTGAGCACAAAACACATATTTACAGACAGTAATTCTACAAAAGTGTGTATGTTTTTAGTTGTAGATGTGTTTTACCTGATTGTGAAGGAGAACAGCAGAGTCCCGTCGGCAGCAGCTCAAATGACATTCAGACCAGTTTTATAAGTGTTTTGCTGTGTTGCTCGGAGACTTAGACAATAGACCGATGTCACAGTGAGAGAGCCACAAAACATTTTACACTTTCCTACACAGAGATTGCACACTGTCAAAAGTCCTGTGTAAACAGTACCAGGTCCACCTTTAGTCGCTCTTGGTCAGTTTTATCCAGGCCGAGCTGGGACTAAAGTGTTCTAACTGACAGTGACTGGAAGCCATGGTTACCAAGGAGAATACCTGAAAACTGGTTTGATGTGGGGAGGTTGCTTGGATACAGTAACCAGATACTAAGGTGTAATGGAAACACAACCAGGTAGAGTAGACTAGAGCCGAGTAGGACCGTTCTGTGCCGTATGCCAAGTCTTTACGAACAGTTTATTCATGTGCCCTCCTTGGTGTACAATTCAAAGTGCTGTTTTTTGCATTGAGTTTGCACAATATTTCGGCATATTGGGTGAGTGGATAGCACTCTCGCCTCTCAGCAAGAAGGTCCTGGGTTCGAATCCCGGTTGGACCAGGGCCTTTCTGAGTGGAGTTTGCATGTTCTCCCCGTGTCTGCGTAGGTTTCCTCCGGGTGCTCCGGTTTTCCCCTACCACTAAAAAGTATGTACAATAGGTATGGCATGTGCCTCCTGTACTGGCACCCCCACCCAACAATTGTAAAACCGCTTTGAGACTCCGATGTGCAGTGAAAAGGCGGTATATAAATAAAAGCTTACTACTTACTTACTTACTTCTGTAAGTATTCCCAAAATCTCAACACAACACATTTGAAAAAGCCATGTCAGAGAGAAAATATGTGACAAAAAGCGTGCTATATTTATACTATCATTTCCACCCAAAGACCACTGTTCTATTTCCACATCCTGCTTCTCTCTGTGCAGCAGATAAAGCTCCCATCTCCATCCTTAACTCTCAGTGCACGGAGAGATTACTGCGATTACATTTAAGTGTCAGGCTGAAATGAAACAGCTCCAGGGTGCGTTCAAAATGTAAAGAGAAAAGTGTGGATAATTTCTTGTGTCAGATGTAGGATTAGTGCTGAACGAGTGCAACGCATACTCTCCGTTTCTCACACTGGGTTTGTTTTTGGAGTGGTTTCTTCGGATGTAGCAGATTCTGGATTCTGTCGGTGCAGGAGGGGTCTAAGGACGGAGAGGATCCCCGGATATTTGTTTAAATTTCTGGACAGTGGTCATCCTGCTCCCTATGGACCAACGGCTCCTATGTGTTTGTTTCTTGGTATTATTTACTGTTTGTGATTCCCTGAGACTGTTTTGATTTAGGATTGTGATGGCAAGCGACTAGTATTCATATCTCCCTGCTCCAGGAAGGAGCAACTCTGCCTGGTTCTATTCATATGTCCCTGCTTCAGGAAGGAACCGGGTCCAAACACACTGGCTTTACTTTAATAAATGGTGTTTCATATAAGATGCAGTGGTTATATGAACAGTTTATAACATATATGTAATAGTCTCCCTCTAGAGAAAAACCAGAGAGAGTGAGAGACCAAAGAGAGACTAGAGAGAGAAATGGCCGAGAGAGAAAGAGAGAGACAAGAGAGAGACCAGAGAGAGACTAAAGCAACAGGCCTCTGTCAGTCAGAACAGTTCTGTGTTTAAGTCCAGTTAATGGTTTGAGCGTAGATATGTTTATCACTCACATTTTGTAAATAAGTCCAAAGAGTTTTAAATAGTAAACAAAAACGCATGTGTCCTCCATAAATCCTTGTTTTGCTGCAGCCGGGTGCATGCCCATTTCTAAAATCAACCCTCTTACACTTCACCTTCTCTTTCTATCATTCCTTATAGTCATTGAAAAATTACCTAATGCAGTTTAAATTATATGAAAACGTTGTTATATGTAGGTTAGCCCAAAACTGTTGCTGCCCTTAGCAGATTAAACCTGAAGTGCAAGGAGCTATCGGATGGAATTGTATGCAGCGACGTCTCTCGCTCACATGCGCTCCTATGTGGCTGACCTACGGTGTTGACAAGCCGTGGTTGAGCGCAATTAGACCCTATTTGTTTCAAAAAACAATTTAGGAGCCATCCTCTCAACTGTAGACATTGGTAGATTGTAAAGGAAATATGTTTTACATCAGCCAATAATTGCGGACGAGGAGTTTTCTAATCCTCCCTTCTCTCATGACATCACGCGCACGGGGTCCTATCTACAATAAAAAGTGAAGCTCATTGTGCGTCTGTGAGTAACGCGCAAGTAACGGGATGTCGGAAATGATATCGGCGTTATTGTTACAGTCAACGTAATTGTTTGGATTACTCGTTACTGAAAAAAGTATCGCCGTTATTCCCCATCACTGTTGGTGGCCAACTGAATGGTCTATTCTGACAAAATGTCAGTCAAATTATAGAATAACACATTTTAAGGACACATCCTTTATATAGATTGATTATTCAACCAAAGGATATCAAGATTGGGATTATCATGAGAATAATATGGGATTACTCATTTGACATATGTAATTGGTAACAATTTTTCACATATTTTAAAAGTCTTTCACTTTTGTAAGTGAGGAAGTCTTGCCCATCATTGAGTGAATTGTACCTGCAAACCTTTTCCTTTTGATTTATAAACCAAAAGCTCTGACCGTATGCGCCACATAGACTGATGCGATTATCAAGAGCGGATATAGGGCTGCACACGCGCACCAACCGGTCTGTCAATCACTCGCTTCAGACCTTGAGATTACTTGACCTGCTCCATGTCTTGATGAGGGCAGGGTCCTTTTTGCAGTGGTGCCTCACGGCCTCAAATGTGAGTTGCTCTGTCTCTATCCCCAGAACTCGTTTCACTCTTTGCACAGTGTCTGTTGCTCGCCCAGGTGCTGGCTCTTCATGACGGCTAACCATAACTCCACAATAATAGTAAAGTGATGTAGTCCCCAACCTGGACCCCTTTCTACCTACTGCCTTTTATCATAGAACCGGTGACAAAATGAGCCTTGCAGAGCCCGACATACATCCAGATACATGTACATGCAACAAAAAGACATTTCCAATATATACTATTGCCAACACTTGTTGTATTACTAGTACATAAGTGTGGATTTGATTCAAAGTTGGGCCAACTTGATAGTATTACAGTATTTTATTGGTGTGATGTGTACCTTCCTGCATTCTTTAACTGTGAGATTATAGTTGGTATGGGTTTGTCACCTGCGCTCTTTGCTCATATAGTTTGCTGCCCACATTATAAAACATGCGCCAAAGTGAGAAAATCAATTGTTGATATCACGTCCAGCTCCGCTCCTGGGCACAGCTTCAGCTCATGATTTATTAGTGAAGCACAGCCGTATAAATTTGCCAATAGGAAAACACTTTGGGTTTAGAGTCATGGGAATATACAGGAGATGGAAGAGAATAAAAATTGAAGAACATTTTTTCCCGAGCTTATCTGGCATTGTTTCTGGTCTCTCTGGTCTCTTTCTGGTCTCTCTCTGGTCTCTTTCTGGTCTCTTTCTGGTCTCTCTCTGGTCTCTCTTTAGTCTGTCTCTGGTCTCTCTCTGGTATCAGACACATATGCACAGAATGGATCCATCTCCCCAGCTTAGTGCCATGACAAATCTCCACGTTTTCATAATTAATGATATTTAAACCTATTTATTGAAAAGTGTGTGTGTTTTGCAGGTGATTCCTCAGGAGGAGGAGGTGAAGACCAGTCTGACGTATAAAATACATCATCCACGAGGACCTGCTTCCTCTCATCACCAACAACAACGTTCTCCTCGCTGAGCTGGACACGTACGAGTGGGCGCTGAAGAGCTGGTCCCAGTGCTCCAAGCCCTGTGGAGGAGGTAGGTACTGCAGGAGGAGGAGTAGCAGCAGTAGTGGAAGTAATAGTAGTAGTAGCAACAGTAGCAGTAGTAATAGTTGTTGTAGTAGTAGTTGTAGTTGTAGCAGTTGTAGTAGTAGTAGTAGTAGTAGTAATAGTAGTTGTAGTTGTAGCAGTGGTAGTAGTAGTAGCAGTAGCAGTAGCAGTAGCAGCAGTAGTAGTAGTTGTAGTAGCAGTAGTAGTAGTAGTAGTAGTAGTAGCAGTAGCAGTAGTACTTGTAGTAGTAGCAGTAGTAGTAGTAGTAGTAGCAGTGGTAGTAGTAGTAGTAGCAGTAGCAGTAGCAGTAGCAGTAGTAGTAGTAGTAGTTTTGTAGTAGCAGTAGCAGTAGCAGTAGTAGTAGCAGTAGTAGTAGTAGTAGCAGTAGTAGTAGTAGTAGTAGTAGCAGTAGCAGTAGTAGCAGTAGTAGTAGTAGTAGCAGTAGTAGAAGTAGTAGTAGTTGTAGTAGTAGCAAGAAGGTCCTGGGTTTGAATCCCGGTCAGAACAGGGCCTTTCTGAATGGAGTTTGTATGTTCAAATGCCATTAGAGCTAACTTCCAAACGTAAATGTAATGAGTTTGCAAATTTTTTCAATGACAAGGTTCAAGGCATCAAAAACGCCATTGTCTCGAATCCACAGATAACAATCCAACAGCCAGAAAGGCTCTTTGAGCCTACTTACTTTGCACCTGTAAATGATAAAACTGTCCAAGAGATAATCTCCAGTTTGAGCTCCTCCACATGCAGCTTGGATGTACTACCCACTAGATTTCTAAAGTCTGTTCTGAGCAGACTTTAGTGAGATTGTGAGATTGACAGGCGGATCGGTGCAGCGTGCGCAGTGATGCGGTCTCTGTATCGGACCGTTGTGGTAAAGAGGGAGCTGAGCCGAAAGGCAAAGCTCTCAATTTACCGGTCAATCTTCGTTCCCTCCCTCACCTATGGTCATGAGCTGTGGGTAATGACCGAAAGAACGAGATCGCGGATACAAGCGGTCGAAATGAGCTTCCTCCGCAGAGTGGCTGGGCGCTCCCTTAGAGATAGGGTGAGGAGCTCGGTCACACGGGAGGAGCTCGGAGTAGAGCCGCTGCTTCTCCACGTCGAGAGGAACCAGTTGAGGTGGCTCGGGCATCTGTTCAGGATGCCTCCTGGACGCCTTCCTGGGGAGGTGTTCCGGGCACGTCCCACCGGGAGGAGGCCCCGGGGAAGACCCAGGACACGCTGGAGAGACTATGTCTCTCAGCTGGCCTGGGAACGCCTTGGGGTCCCCCCGGACGAGCTTGAGGAGGTGTGTGTGGATAGGGAAGTCTGGGCGTCTCTGCTTAGACTGCTGCCCCCGCGACCCGGCAACGGATAAAGCGGAAGAAAATGGATGGATGGATGGATGTTCTGAGCAGTCTGTTACCTTCACTCACACAGATAGTAAACATGTCCCTTGATTCTGGAATATTCCCAAAGGCCCTGAAAACTGCAGTCATCAGGCCCCTGCTAAAAAAGAGCAGTCTGGATGCTACGGTACTTAACAACTATCGTCCCATCTCAAATCTGCCATTTATGGGGAAAGTCCTTGAGAAAGTTGTCTACCTACAGCTTACTAGATTTCTTATAATCAACAACTCATTTGATATGTTTCAGTCCGGCGTTAGACCCCACCACAGCACTGAGACTGCTCTCGTCAAGGTTACAAATGATATCCGGCTGAACACTGACGCAGGCAAAGTCTCAATCCTAATCCTGTTAGATCTAAGTGCTGCCTTTGACACTGTCGACCATGAGATCCTCTTACAGAGACTAGAGGACTGGGTTGGCGTCGCTGGCACCGCCCTAAGTTGGTTTAGGTCTTACCTTGAAGACAGGAAGTACTTTGTGGAGATTGGAAACTGTGTCTCAGATCATATGGCCCTGACCTGTGGAGTCCCACAGGGGTCGATCCTGGGACCTCTTCTGTTCAATCTCTACATGCTGCCGTTAGGTCAGTTAATACGCAGAAACAAAGTTTCCTATCATAACTATGCAGACGACACTCAGATCTATGTCTCACTGACTGCAGGAGAACATGGACCAGTGGACTCACTCCTTCACTGTATCCAACAGATCAGTGAGTGGATGCAAAACAACTTCCTTCAGCTAAACGCAGACAAAACTGAAATGATTGTCTTTGGTCCCCAGAAACAAAGAGAGAGCGTCATCTGTCACCTACAGTCTCTCTCCCTAAAACCTTCAAACAAGGTCAGAAATCTAGGGGTAATACTGGACTCAGACTTAAATTTTAATAGCCACATCAAATCAGTAACATCAGCAGCTTTTTACCATCTAAAAAACATTGCCAGGATCAAAAACATGGTGTCTAAAGCAGACCTGGAGATTCTTATCCATGCATTTGTCTCCAGTAGGTTAGACTACTGCAATGGCCTGCTCACAGGTCTGTCCAAACAGGCTGTAAAACAGCTGCAGTACATTCAAAATGCAGCAGCTCGAGTCCTGACTAGAACCAGGAAGTACGACCATATTAGTCCGGTCCTCAGGTCTCTGCACTGGCTTCCTGTGGCTCAGAGAATAGACTTTAAAACAGCTTTGCTTGTGTACAAGTCTCTCCATGGCCTCGCACCAAAATATATTAGTGACATGTTAGTCCCATATGAACCAGCCCGGACTCTGAGGAGCACAGGGACTGGACTCCTGTTAGTGCCCAGAGTCAGAACTAAACATGGGGAGGCTGCTTTTCAGATCCATGCTGCTAAAATCTGGAACAATCTTCCTGAAGATGTGAGACAGGCCTCCTCTCTGACAATGTTTAAAACCAGGTTAAAAACGGTGCTGTTTAGCTGTGCATACAACTGAGGGATTTTATATTTTTATCTTTCGTTTTAATGTTCTGTAATTATTTATGATTTTAATGCTATCTTGTTCAGCACTTTGAGTTGCCTTGTGTATGAATTGTGCTATACAAATAAACTTGCCTTGCCTTGCCTTGTCTACACGTGTCTGCGTAGGGGTGCTCCGGTTACCTCCGGGTACTCCGGTTTCCCCTACCACTAAAAACATGCGCGGAGTCATTTAGCTGAAAGAAGATCGGGTTGTGAAAGAACGTTGCCGTGGTGATAATAGCGCTATATAAAACCGATGCGTTATTATTAACAGCTGCTGCTATAGTATAAAATGAAATGATGGGTAAACAAGGTGGATACATGTGTTATTGTTTCATTAAAGACAATCATATCTGCTGTGTGTGTGTGTGTGTAGGTATGTGTGTGTGTGTGTGTGTGTGTGTGTGTGTGTACATGTAGGTATGTGTGTGTGTGTGTGTGTGTGTGTGTACATGTAGGGATGTGTGTGTGTGTAGGTATGTGTGTGTGTGTGTGTGTACATGTAGGTATGTGTGTGTGTGTGTGTGTGTGTGTGTGTGTGTGTACATGTAGGTATGTGTGTGTGTGTGTGTGTGTGTGGTACATGTAGGGATGTGTGTGTGTGTGTACAGCATGTGTATGTATGTGTGTATCTGTGTGTGTGTGTGTGTGTGTCAATATTTAAAATAGTCACATGTGAGATAAAATTATTACACACAGTAATGACGCTCATGTGTGCTCTTCTTCCTCCTTCACCTCTTCCACCTCTTCCTCCTTCACATACTCCTCCTCTTCTTCCTCCTCCTCTTCTTCCTTCTCCTCCTCCACCTCTTCCTCCTTCACATACTCCTCCTCTTCTTCCTCCTCCTCTTCTTCCTTCTCCTCCTCCCCCTCCTCCTCCTTCACATGCTCCTCCTCTTCCTCCTTATCGTCCTCCTGGTCTTCTCCCTCCTTCTACTTCTGCTCCTTCTTCTCCTTCTGCTCTTCCTTTTCTTCCTTGACCATCCTCCTCCTCTCCCTCCTCCTCCTCCTCCTCCTCCTCCTCCTCCTTCAGGGATCCAGTACACCAAGTATGGCTGCAGGAGGAAGAGTGACAGTCGTCTGGTTCACCGTAACTTCTGTGAGACGAGTAAAAAACCCAAACCCATCCGCAAACGCTGCAACAGCCAGGAGTGCAGCCCTCCCACGTGAGTCAGACTAACATTTAAAGTGGACCAACAAGAGCCATGTTAGACTAAACTGGACCATGTCTGTCGCCCCCTGCTGGGCACTCTGTCTGCTCTGGAGAGTAGCTTCAGTGACAGATTGATCCACCCTCAGTCTGTAAAGGAGAGGAGACAACAATGAGAACTTATGAACCTGCTTCTATGCCATTCATCTGTACAATTCACTGATACTATATTATCATATTATTGTGGCGCCACCTGCAGGACCTTTGAGAACACCAGGGGCCAAACACCACAAACTGTCATTCTGTCCTTAGCACTTCACCCACATTTTTCTCTCTCTCTTTCTCTGTCTCTCTCTCTCTCTCTCTCTCTCTCTCTCTCTCTCTCTCTCTCTCTCTCTCTTTTTGTTCATCTGTGTCTTTCTCTGTCTCTCTCTGTCTGTCTCTCTCGCTCTCTGACTGCCTCTCTGGCTCTCTCTTTCTTTCTCTCTCTCTCTTACATCCTCTCTGTCTCTTTTTGTCTGTGTGCGTGTGTCTCTCTCTGTCTACAGTTATATATTGTGCTTTGAAACTTCCTTACATCAACTTTAACCTCCTCTCCCCCTCTCTCCCTCTCTCTCTCCCTTCTCTCTCACCCTCTCTCTCTCTCTCCCTCTCTCTCTGCCTCTCTCCTAAAGGTGGGTAGCAGAGTCCTGGGGTCCCTGTAGCAAGTCCTGTGGGAAGTTGGGGTACCAGACCAGAGTGGTGCAGTGCATGCAGCCGCTGCTCAACAACACCCAGAGGCCCGTCCACAGCAAACACTGCCCCCCAGAGAGACCAGACCCCCGACGGGCCTGCAACCAGAGCCTGTGCCCCGCCCAGTGGAGGACCGGAGCCTGGTCCCAGGTCCCACACCTTCTATACTATCACACGTTCTCTGGTTTTCTCTTGAGTTTTTACAAGAGAGAGAGAGGGGGGTAGATACACACATAAAACACCATATACATATTTATAGATTAGACATATATTTATATCACATTACTATAAATATATTATCTGTCTCTAACTTTTTCCTATTGGATTTTATGATTTGTTTCTTATCGATGCAGACATTTCCGGACACTGGTTTCTGTTCTTTCGGGACCAATGGCTCAATGTGTTTGTTATCATTGCGTTTCCTGTGTTGGAACGGTTTGATTCTCTGATCTGTGTTGGCGAATCGACTTTGAGATAACGACTGAACTAGGACTATGCAAAAATAGATAGAATTGATTTGAGCAAGTGTACCGTTATCTAAGGGATACACCCAGGCAGTATCTGACACCAGGCCTACAGCAAGCAACATGTTTGGTTTTGCTTTGATAGTTGTTGTTGTTGTGTTGCTGTTGTTGTTGTTGTGTTGATGTTGTGTTGTTGTGTTGTACCAGTGCTCGGTGTCGTGTGGGGAGGGGATCCAGCAGAGGCAGGTGGTCTGTAAAGGCAGCGACAACACCATCGGAGAATGTTCAGAGGACAAACCTGACACTCTGCTGATCTGTAAACTCAAGGCCTGTCCAGGTGAGAGAGGACTGATGGTACTACTGCTGCTGCTACTGCTACTGGTACTGCTACTGCTGCTGCTGCTGCTGCTGCTACTGCTACTGCTACTGCTACTGCTACTGCTGCTGCTGCTGATGATGATACTGCTGCTGCTGCTGCTGCTGCTACCGCTACTGCTGCTGCTAATGATAATGCTATTGCTGCTGCTACTGATACTGCTGCTGCTGCTACTGCTGATAATCCTACTGCTACTACTGCTACTTCTACAGCTGATTTATCATTTATTTTCCTAATTTGTTTTGTCATTGTGATTATATATAATGTACACAAACTGAATCTACAGTGACAGTTTTTTCCGGATCGTGTTTTTTCAGGAGAATCTGTGTCAAACTCTGAAGCTCTAGAAAACTCCACGGTCAAAGACGACGTCGCTCACACCAAGTTTTTCGAGAAACCGATTTCAAAAACATCATCGAGTAAGTGTCCTGTGTCTGTGTTATCGGTGTGGGATTCTGATTTGATACTGATGATACGTGTAAATGAATCGATCAGTCTGAAATATCTTCTGTGATGGGAGGAGGCGGGTTGCTGCATGAGCTGAAAGAGGGTGGTGCAGAGCTGTGGAGCACTGTGTATCTGTGTACTGTATTTACCTCCTCATAGTCCCAGCAGGAGGCCACATGCAGAAATGCAAGCTCTAACTCTGGGATTTTTGTTGTTGTTGAGAAATATCAACTTTTTAAAATGAGATATAATATTGTAATTTGCTGAAGTAATGTTTGATTATCAAACATTTTACCAAAGCTTAATGTTATATCTTTTTGTTTTTGTTTTATTTTATTCATAATTTTCATATTTTTGTTTATAAAAATGTTTATAAATTCTCTATTTTTTTAAAATAAAACATAAAATGGGTTTAGCGTTAGAAACTAGAACTTGCTGTGGCTCTCGCTGCAAACTAGTAAAGTCAGATCCTGTCAGACCACTGGAGCTAAGCAGGACAGGGCCTGGTTAGTTCAGTGATACAACTGAGGGATATTATATTTTTATCTTTCTTTTTAATGTTCTTTGATTATTTATGATTTTAATGCTTTCTTATTTTGTTCAGCACTTTGAATTGCCTTGTGTATGAATTGTGCTAAATAAACTTTCCTTGCCTTGCCTTAGGGGCGACAGTAGCTCAGTTGGTAGAGCATTGGCCTTAAGCCCAGAAGGTTGTGGGTTCAATTCCCACCTCTGCACCTTCTCCATCGACTCCCACTGATGACTGCTGTTGTTGTGTCCTTGGGCAAGACACTTAACCCCACTTTGCCCAAAGCCCCCACTGAAAGATCAAGGCTATGCTCACATAGCCGTCCTCCTGTGGACTCACCACCTGCAGAGGATCAGTGATGGGCTGGTGCTATGAGACTTGGGTGGCATCTCTGACTGCCACCCCCCTGACCCAGAAATGGATTAAAGGGTAGAAAATGGATGGATGGATGGATGCCTTGCCTTGATGGGAGACCGCTGGGAACATCAGGCTTCTCAGCATCAGAATTGTTTTGACAAACTAGGAAGTTGTGAGAGTACAAATAGAAAAGGCATTCACCAAATCTCATTTTGTTCTCTCATGTTTTTTATTGTGCTAAAGTTAGAGATTTTATAGCTCATTCCTACTGTTCTGTTACTTGTGATGCACCACTGACATTTCTACTCTGCACTGCAAAAATAATTATTCCTTAAGAACTGTTGATTTGTTTTCTCGTTACAAGGGAGAAATCCTTTTAAACAAGAATTTTTGCTTATCCCATTGTCAAATCTAGTTTTAAGAATATGATTAAATCCACATTTTTGACTTTTTTGTCATCACTTGTTGCAGTGTGTGAGACAAAGAAAGGATCTCTTCATCTTAATCTTAAAATCTTAATCTTCTATTCCCCGTTACTTCCCACAGACGAGCCGTGTTTACGAGACAAATCCATCTTCTGTCAGATGGAGGTGCTGGCTCAGTACTGCTCCATCCCCGGCTACAACAAACTCTGCTGCGAATCCTGCAACAAACGAGAACACCTCCTCCAGGCCACAACGGACCTCCCAGACCCAGGGACAGACCCGGCCCTGGACCAGACCACAGTTCGAGACTCGGCCAGCACCAGACCGGACCCGTCGGGCAGCCCCAGACCAGCGGGGACTAGAGCCACGCCCACAATAACAGCCACAACAGTGACAAATTCCAGTAAAAGTACATCGCCAACGACGGCTTCTCCCACGTCCAGAGGAGGCCGCCGGGTCAGAGCCACCACCCCAGAGACCAGCACCGATTCGGGGGCTTTCGCTTTGGTGGGAGCCGCCGCCGTCACCCAGAGTCATGGAACAAGTGGGTGATAGAAAGATAAATAAGACTGAGATTTATTTGCACTGAGATTATGCATAAACAGGATCTATTTAAGATCATTGATAATTGAATAGTCTTTCTGGGTCTGGTCTCTCTCTTGTGTTCTCCCTGGTCTCGGTCTTGTCTCTCTCTGCCCTCTTTCTGCTCTCTTTCTGCTCTCTTTCTGCTCTCTTTCTGCTCTCTCTCTGGTCTCCCTCTTAGAACTTGATGATGAACTCTTTTCGCCGTCTTGTTGTTAGCGGCCGCTGGAGGTGGGAACCTCTGTCCAGAGCGGCCGCAGCTGCCCTGGGTCAGAACGCTGTGGCCACGTAGGAGGCGGACTTCAGTTCATATACAGAAAACAACAGCAAGTGCCCCGCGGTCACGCGCATATTCTTTTAAAACTTGAGTTCCCAGAGACCTGCTCTGTCTCCATCCCACACACGCACGTGTCCGCGCATGGGCGGGTCATTCGGACATGCGTTAAACGCTTTCATTTTTTTAAACGCGACTAATGAAAAATTTAATTAACGTGCGTTAACACGATCATTTTGACAGCCCTAAAATAAAGATGACTGACTTACATATTTGCTCACAGAGTCCTTTGTTGTTTCAGGAAAAACATGTGAAAAAGACACTTCCATCTTCTGCAAAATGGACGTTCTGACGCGATACTGCTCCATCCCCGGCTACAACAGACTCTGCTGCCAGTCGTGCGGCAAGAAGGACACCCTGGACCCCTCTGGCACCCCTCCCTCCCCCTCCCCCACCCTCACCCATTCCCTCCCCCCAACCCTCCCCCCAACCCTCACCCACTCCCTCACCACTCCACAGACCACCACCGTCCCCCACAGACACTTACCCCCCTCGGTCCCGCCCCCAGCTCCCCCCAGAGAGTCGGGACCGGGACCAGAACTACCTCCACGAGCGGAAATCACAGACTGAGAGAGAAAAGACACAACGCTGCAGAAATATTGACGGAGAAGAAGTTAATACGAGCGAGAATGGAGAGGTTTTGATCTTGATTTGAGTGTATTTTGACGAAGACAAGATTTTTGACTTGATTCGCCCATGGAACACAGACAGGAGAAAACTGTAGACCCAGGACTGAGGCTGTAGATCCAAGACTAAGACCAGAGATCCATGCTTTGTACTTTTACTTCTACTATACTACTATTCTGCACTAATAATACTACAATATATCTATTGACTCAAAGTAAAAATCTCAAAGAAAATTCTCAAAGAAAATGTGAAGAAGGGACTGTAGCCAGAATCATCAACAAACAAAAAAAAGGCTTGTGTCACTTAAGTTCGGATCATGTGCTGGTTTCACATTTTAAGTGCAAATGTTCTTAGTAAATAGTCGCATTATATGAAGAGAATGAATAATATTTCTTCTTTAAAACAACAAACTACAGCGTGTTTCATTGGTGAATCCTCCGTTTTAAGACAAAAAAGTCAAACTAAACTCAAATCAAGAAACATTTTGCATAATTCAAGCACTTTTGAGCTTGTTTTTGTCTGTTTGTGCAGTGAAGCACTTTAGGTTTGCCCAGTCGCTGCCGCCTCAAAAAGGGACAGTCTCAGAGGCTCACACCTGCCACGGTCTCTCTGCGACTGCATGAGGACCATCTCACACCTGCCACAGTCTCTCTGCGACTGCAGGAGGACCTTTCACACCAGCCACAGTCTCTCTGCGACTGCAAGAGGACCTTTCACACCCGCCACAGTCTCTCTGCGACTGCATGAGGGCCTTTCACACCCGCCACAGTCTCTCTGCGACTGCAAGAGGACCTTTCACACCCGCCACAGTCTCTCTGCGACTGCATGAGGACCATCTCACACCTGCCACAGTCTCTCTGCGACTGCAAGAGGACCTTTCACACCCGCCACAGTCTCTCTGCGACTGCAAGAGGACCTTTCACACCCGCCACAGTCTTTCTGCAACTGCATGAGGAGCTTTCACACCTGCCACAGTCTCTCTGCGACTGCATGAGGGCCTTTCACACCCGCCACAGTTTCTCGGCGACTGCATGAGGACCTCTCACACCCGCCACAGTCTCTCTGCGACTGCATGAGGACCATCTCACACCTGCTACAGTCTCTCTGCGACTGGATGAGGACCTCTCAGATCCACTACAGTCTCTTTGCGACTGCATGATACCTCTGTGACTGCATGAGGGCCTCTCACACCCTGTGGTGGGTCTCTCTGTGAAAAATCTTGAAAACAGCAGAAATGTTAGACTTGAACGACTTTCTACTCAGTCCATTTCCTGTACAGTTTCTCTCATAGTCAATCATCTCATTTTCAGACTCTGAATTTTTTGTATTGCTCAGTGTAAAACAGCTCAGCTCTACTCTACTCTACCTGGTAGCGTTTTCTTTATGCTTTAGTATCTGGTACGGTATCCTAGCAACCTATCCACAACAAACATGTAACCATAGATACCAGCAGCACTCTGGCCAATCACTGTCAGTTAGAACATTTTACCAGCTCGGCCTGGATAGAACCAGGACCAAGAGGGACTAGATAAGGACCTGGTACTGGTTACAGAGGGTAGAGTAGAGTAGAGTAGAGTAGAGTAGAGTAGAGTAGAGTAGAGTAGAGCAAAGCAGAGTAGAGTAGAGTAGGGCTGGCGCAAACTGGGCTTAAGAAACAGGAAATTATAAACTCTTTGGTATATGGTGCTAACATGTAGTAAAACAAGAAATACAGATGTCAAATCATACATACAAACTCTTTCTACAATTATAATATACACATACACACAAGTGACAATTAAGAGATTATATAATTACAGAGTGAGTGTGTGTGTATTCGGTGGTTATTTGGTGTAATTTGGGGCCTCCTTCCTTTCCTGTCGTTTTTGGCTCGAATAGTGAACGGCGAGCCTCGTGAACGCCCTCCTGAGCCGCCGCCATCCCCCTCCACACAAACCGGTTCACACTGGTGCTGTTTCTCCGTCGTCTCGGTGAGAATGTGTGTGTGTGACGTCGCTTTGTTCGTGTACAGTCGTTATTCAAAGTGCATTAGAACTACTATTGAACTATTGTGAAACCTCAGACCTGCCCTGGGCTCCGCAGTGTGCCGCCGAACCAAAAACGCAGACAGAAATCCTATTATCGTTATGTTTTTGTAGTATTTTTTTACCAATTTTACCCCCACTGCTATCAAGGCCATCAAGAAACAACCACGCAAGGCATTCAAATAATCCTAAATAATCACTGAGCATTAAAAACGAGAAGAGAAGAACTAGTTACAATAGTTAGACATAGAATTTTTTTTTTATCTCAGCTGTAAGAAGGAGCCCGCTGAGTCATGATTTGACTCTTTGGGGTGAGAGCTGATTGGCTGAGAGTGAGGGTGGTCCTCTCTGTGTCACTTTCTGTCTGAGAAAGCAGATTTAAAGATGTGACGGAGGTAAAAAATGAGACCAGAGAAAGAGACAGGAGAGAGACCAGATGTAGCAGAGATAGACCAGAAAGAGACCAAAAAGAGGCCAGAGAGAGACCAGAAAGAGGCCGGAGATAGACCAGAAAGAGACCAGCGAGGGAGACTGGAGACAGAGCTCTCTTTTTAACTTCTCTGTCTGAAAAATATGATTTAAAGATGTGACAAAGGCCAAAAACACTTAATATAATACATGTTTAGAAAGCGAGAAACTTCTACCGATTGTTGGCTTTTGTAAAACAGTAAAAACGGTCCCCCAGCTTTAATCTGTGGTCTGAGCGAAGCCTGCAGGGCCTTTAGATTCCCTCAACCAGACCACAGAGATAATATTTCTTTCCAGTTTCTCTCCGTTCTTCGGCACATTGCAGAGCCCACTGTACGTCTGTCCAACCTGAAGTCTTGGTGCTCATTGCTTTCCCCGTTGTTGCCATAACTTGAACCAAACCCCGCTGTATTACTCCCCCTCCTCGGACTCCTCCCGTTTCGCCGCATAACTTTAAACGTGTCAAAAATCCTGCTACTTTGTTCCCTTTTGTTGTTGTACATAGTGTAAATTTGTCATACAGAAGTCATTAAAACTCCATGTGTATGTGTTATGTATAGTTCTTGTATATACGAACGCCAATGAAAGCTTTAAGTATTAATATTTATTGAATTTTTAAACAGTACAGAGGAGTTACAGATGTGGAGTAAAAAAAACATGTTGAAAAAGATGGTCGTCCCTGTGTCTTTTTTCTTTTTGTTTTTATCAGAGACAGATCGAGTCGCCTTTATGTGTACTTCCCTAAATCTCTGGTCTCTCTCTGGTCTTGCTCTCTTTGGACTCACTACAGTCTCTTTCTAGTTCCTCTCTCTGCTCTCTCTCTATAGTCTCTCTTTGGTCTCTCTCTGGTTTCTCTCTAGTCTCTGGTCTCTCTTGGGTCTCTCTGATTTTTCTCTCTAGTCCCTTTCTCTGGTTTCTCTCACTAGTCTCACTCTAGTCTCTCTCTAGTCTCTCGCTCTAGGCTCTCTCTAGTCTTGCTCTTGTCTCTCGCTCTAGTCTCACTTGTCTCTCGCTCTAGTCTCTCTTGTCTCTCGCTCTAGTCTCTCTCCTGTCTCTCGCTCTAGTTTCTCTCTCGTCTCTCGCTCTAGTTTCTCTCTTGTCTCTCACTCTAGTCTCTCTTGTCTCTTGCTTTAGTCTCTCTCTTGTCTCTTGCTCTAGTCTCTCTCTGGTCTCTCACTCTAGTCTCTCTTGTCTCTTGCTTTAGTCTCTCTCTTGTCTCTTGCTCTAGTCTCTCTCTAGTCTTGCTCTTGTCTCTCGCTCTAGTCTCTCGCTCTAGTCTCTCTTGTCTCTCGCTCTAGTCTCTCGCTCTAGTCTCTCTTGTCTCTCGCTCTAGTCTCTCGCTCTAGTCTCTCTTGTCTCTCGCTCTAGTCTCTCTCCTGTCTCTTGCTCTAGTCTCTCCCTAGTCTTGCTCTTGTCTCTCTTGTCTCTCGCTCTAGTCTCTCTCGTCTCTTGCTCTAGTTTCTCTCTTGTCTCTCACTCTAGTCTCTCTTGTCTCTTGCTTTAGTCTCTCTCTTGTCTCTTGCTCTAGTCTCACTCTAGTCTCTCTCCTGTCTCTCGCTCTAGTCTCTCTCTCGTCTCTCGCTCTAGTTTCTCTCTTGTCTCTCACTCTAGTCTCTCTTGTCTCTTGCTTTAGTCTCTCTCTTGTCTCTTGCTCTAGTCTCTCTCTGGTCTCTCACTCTAGTCTCTCTTGTCTCTTGCTTTAGTCTCTCTCTTGTCTCTTGCTCTAGTCTCACTCTAGTCTCTCTCTAGTCTCTCGCTCTAGGCTCTCTCTAGTCTTGCTCTTGTCTCTCGCTCTAGTCTCTCTTCTTGTCTCTCGCTCTAGTCTCTCTTGTCTCTTGCTTTAGTCTCTCTCTGGTCTCTCTCTTGTCTCTCTTTTCTCTCTCGGCCATTTCTCTCTCTAGTCTCTCTTTGGTCTCTCACTCTCTCTGGTTTTTCTCTAGAGGGAGACTATTACATATATGTTATAAACTGTTCATATAACCACTGCATCTTATATGAACACATTTATTAAAGTAAAGCCAGTGTGTTTGGACCCGGTTCCTTCCTGAAGCAGGGACATATGAATAGAACCAGGCAGAGTTGCTCCTTCCTGGAGCAGGGAGATATGAATACTAGTCGCTTGCCATCACAATCCTAAATCAAAACAGTCTCAGGGAATCACAAACAGTAAATAATACCAAGAACAAACACATAGGAGCCGTTGGTCCATAGGGAGCAGGATGACCACTGTCCAGAAATTTAAACAAATATCCGGGATCCTCTCCGTCCTTAGACCCTCCTGCACCGACAGAATCCAGAATCTGCTACATCCGAAGAAACCACTCCAAAAACAAACCCAGTGTGAGAAACGGAGAGTATGCGTTGCACTCTTCAGGCACTAATCCTACATCTGACACAAGAGAAATTATCCACACTTTTCTCTTTACATTTGAACGCACCCTGGAGCTGTTTCATTTCAGCCTGACACTTAAATGTAATCGCAGTAATCTCTCCGTGCACTGAGAGTTAAGGATGGAGATGGGAGCTTTATCTGCTGCACAGAGAGAAGCAGGATGTGGAAATAGAACAGTGGTCTTTGGGTGGAAATGATAGTATAAATATAGCACGCTTTTTGTCACATATTTTCTCTCTGACATGGCTTTTTCAAATGTGTTGTGTTGAGATTTTGGGGAATACTTACAGAAGTAAGTAAGTAAGTAGTAAGCTTTTATTTATATACCGCCTTTTCACTGCACATCGGAGTCTCAAAGCGGTTTTACAATTGTTGGGTGGGGGTGCCAGTACAGGAGGCACATGCCATACCTATTGTACATATTTTTAGTGGTAGGGGAAACCGGAGCACCCGGAGGAAACCTACGCAGACACGGGGAGAACATGCAAACTCCACTCAGAAAGGCCCTGGTCCAACCGGGATTCGAACCCAGGACCTTCTTGCTGAGAGGCGAGAGTGCTATCCACTCACCCAATATGCCGAAATATTGTGCAAACTCAATGCAAAAAACAGCACTTTGAATTGTACACCAAGAGGGCACATGAATAAACTGTTCGTAAAGACTTGGCATACGGCACAGAACGGTCCTACTCGGCTCTAGTCTACTCTACCTGGTTGTGTTTCCATTACACCTTAGTATCTGGTTACTGTATCCAAGCAACCTCCCCACATCAAACCAGTTTTCAGGTATTCTCCTTGGTAACCATGGCTTCCAGTCACTGTCAGTTAGAACACTTTAGTCCCAGCTCGGCCTGGATAAAACTGACCAAGAGCGACTAAAGGTGGACCTGGTACTGTTTACACAGGACTTTTGACAGTGTGCAATCTCTGTGTAGGAAAGTGTAAAATGTTTTGTGGCTCTCTCACTGTGACATCGGTCTATTGTCTAAGTCTCCGAGCAACACAGCAAAACACTTATAAAACTGGTCTGAATGTCATTTGAGCTGCTGCCGACGGGACTCTGCTGTTCTCCTTCACAATCAGGTAAAACACATCTACAACTAAAAACATACACACTTTTGTAGAATTACTGTCTGTAAATATGTGTTTTGTGCTCAGTTTTGTCCTGTTTTCCTTTTGCTTCTTCCTTTTTATTTTCTACTGAGGTATCTCTCCCTGGTCTCTCTCTGGTCTCTCTCAGGTCTCTCTCTGGTCTGTCTCTGGTCTCTCTCTGGTTTCTCTCAGGTCTCTCTCTCTCTGGTCTCTCTCTGGTCTCTCTCTGGTCTCTCTCAGGTCTCTCTCAGGTCTCTGTCTCTCTCTAGTCTCTCTCTGGTCTCTCTCTGGTCTCTCTCAGGTCTCTCTCAGGTCTCTCTCAGGTCTCTGTCTCTCTCTGGTATCTCTCTGGTCTCTCTCAGGTCTCTCTCAGGTCTCTCTCTGGTCTCTCTCTGGTTTCTCTCAGGTCTCTCTCTCTCTGGTCTCTCTCAGCTCACTCTCACGTCTCTCTCTGGTCTCTCTCTAGTCTCTCTCTGGTCTCTCTCAGGTCTCTCTCAGGTCTCTGTCTCTCTCTGGTCTCTCTCTAGTCTCTCCCTGGTCTCTCTCTGGTTTCTCTCAGGTCTCTCCCAGGTCTCTCTCTCTCTGGTCTCTCTCTGGTCTCTCTCTGGTCTCTCTCAGGTCTCTCTCAGGTCTGTCTCTGGTCTGTCTCTGGTATCTCTATGGTCTCTCTCAGGTCTCTGTCTCTCTCTGGTCTCTCTCTAGTCTCTCTCTGGTTTCTCTCAGGTCTCTCTCAGGTCTCTCTCTCTCTGGTCTCTCTCTGGTCTCTCTCTGGTCTCTCTCAGGTCTCTCTCAGGTCTCTCTCAGGTCTCTCTCAGGTCTCTCTCAGGTCTCTGTCTCTCTCTGGTCTCTCTCTAGTTTCTCTCTGGTCTCTCTCTGGTTTCTCTCAGGTCTCTCTCAGGTCTCTCTCTCTCTGGTCTCTCTCTGGTCTCTCTCTGGTCTCTCTCAGGTCTCTCTCAGGTCTCTCTCTGGTCTGTCTCTGGTATCTCTATGGTCTCTCTCAGGTCTCTGTCTCTCTCTGGTCTCTCTCTAGTCTCTCTCTGGTCTCTCTCTGGTCTCTCTCAGGTCTCTCTCTGGTCTCTCTCTGGTCTCTCTCTGGTCTCTCTCTGGTCTGTCTCTGGTATTTCTATGGTCTCTCTCAGGTCTCTGTCTGTCTCTGGTCTCTCTCTGGTCTCTCTCTGGTCTCTCTCTGGTCTCTCTCTGGTCTCTCTCTGGTCTCTCTCAGGTCTCTCTCTAGTGTAGTCTCTCTCTGGTCTCTCTCCGGTCTCTCTCTAGTGTAGTCTCTCTCTGGTCCCTCTCTGGTCTCACTCTGATCTCTCCCTGGTCTCTCTCTGGTCTCTCTTTCTGCTCTCTCTCTTGTTTCTTCCTCTCTCTTGTCTCTTTTTCTTGTGTCTCTCTGCTCGTTCACTCTCTTTTCTCTCTCAGTTAAAATACTTGTCTCTCTGCGACAGGTGTCAGGCCCTATTTGTGGACACCATGTACTTTCTTTTCAAATGTTGCTGGTGCGGCTTATACACAGATGTACCAGAAAGGTCGGTACATACTGAGATATTTGTTGACTTCAAATGTGTTCTTTTGTCTCCCCCGTAGCCCTTTGCTTCTGACCTTCCCGTCTCCTGGTCCCTGATGCGTCCCTGCTGACCTGCCGTGGACATGTCCCTCAGCCCGGACACTAGGGGCAGCATTGGGGCCTTGAGCGGGGACCTGCCGGGGCTGCTGTCCCGGGGCAGCGCTCGCTTCGGGTCCCTGAGTCATCACTCCTTCTTCTCCAGACACAACCCCCACCCCAGCCGTGTCCGACACATGCAAGGTACCGAAGAAACTCTCTGACCATACACCCTGAGCCTGACTCTGAGGGGTAGATAGAGTGAAAGAGAGAGAGATGGAGAGAGAGGGATAGAGAACAAGAGTGAGAGAAAGAGACTGAGAGAGAGAGATAGAAAAAGAGAGAGAGAGTGAGAGGAAGAGACAGAGAGAGAAAGAGAGAGAGAGATAGGGAGACAGAGAAAGAAACAGAGAAAGGGAGAGGGAGTGATACAGAGATAAAGAGAGAGAAAGAAAGAGAGATATATAGAGAGAGAGAGAAACAGAGACCGAGAGAGACACAGAGAGACAAAGAGTGAGAGAGACAGAGACTATGAGACTGTGAGACTGTGAGGGACAGAGAGACAGAGAGAGTGAGAGAAAGAGAGCGATAATGTAAAAATTATCCAAACCGTCCGTGGCGCTCTGTTTCACAACCTTTATTCATTCCCTCTGGTTTCCTCTCGGCAAAACAAGCATGTTAGCGCTCATAACGAGGAGGTTATTAAAGTTAATGCAGTGTTTTTATCGTCAGAGTCGGAGGGAGAAGGAGCAGAGTTGAAGTGAAGACCCGAGGGATATTCACGATGCATATTATTTTATTCTAGTAACTCATGGGTTATTTAGCCCAATGGGAAAAAACACGAGAAGGTCGAGTACACACCGACAGAAACAGGCAAACTACAAATCAGTCAAACTCAAAATGGGATGCAGCATGAGGGTCTTTATGTTGAGTGCTTCCCCCACGGCTGCAGTTTACAACGCTGCTTTTCTAGATTGTTGATTAAAAGTCTTGAAAGATAGTGGTATAACAAATCAAAGTAGAACATTTAATGTTGAAATGAGTCTGAAGGGTACACAAAGCTCACTGACTGTAAGTCCATAAGTGAGAGAGAGTGAGAGTGAGAGTGAGAGTGAGAGAGAGAGAGAGAGAGAGAGAGAGAGACCAGAGAGGCACCACAGAGACCAGAGTGTGACAAGAAAGAGAGAATCAAAAGAGACCAGAGTGAGGGAGGATGAAACAGGCTTTATGCCTTTAACTCCCTATGCTACCACCAATTTGTTTTTCCAGTCCCTGTGCTCCTCAGAGTCCCAGCAGGAGGCTTGTCCCTGTGCTCATCAGAGTCCCAGCAGGAGGCTTGTCCCTGTGCTCTTCAGAGTCCCAGCAGGAGGCTTGTCCCTGTGCTCTTCAGAGTCCCAGCAGGAGGCTTGTCCCTGTGCTCTTCAGAGTAGGGCACTAACATGTCTCAGATGTACTTTGGTGCGAGGCCATGGAGAGACCTGAGACCAGGACTAATAAGAATCTCCAACTCTGCTTTAGACACGATGTTATATATTATTCACTAAAACGCTCTCATAACCGATCAGACGATCAAAGTCATTTTTAAAACTTTTTGGTTTTAGTGAATCTTTGGAGACAGTTGGTTTCAAAGACCAAAGACAGAACTGTTTTCTGTGAAAATTATATTAAAAGTAAAAAAGGTTATTTTATGACAAGATCAAAGCCTCCGCAGCAAAACAATAATTCAAAGTGCGTGGGGAGTAGAAGCCAATAAAACTACTCTGTTGACACCTCCTCTGAGGAGGAGGCGCAGCGTGAGGGTGAGCAGAGGAGAAATCCATTATTTACACTTCTTTGAAAACACAAGAATGAAAATGTAATACATTCCATGTGACTGGATCCTCGCTCTCAAAAAAGTTTGTTTCTGTCACTCGTCGTCGCATTTTATTATCCTCTGTCACAGCTTTAGATCAGATTATTCAGACAGAGAAGAGGAAAAGAGAGGACCACCCTCACTCGGCCAATCAGATCTCAGCAAAGAGAGAGAGAGAGACCAGAGAGAGACCAGAGAGAGAGACCTGAGAGAGAGACCAGAGAGAGAGAGACCAGAGAGACCAGAGAGAGACCAGAGAGAGACCAGAGAGAGACCAGAGAGAGACCAGAGAGAGAGAGAGAGAGAGACCAGAGAGAGACCAGAGAGAGACCAGAGAGAGAGAGAGAGAGGCCAGAGAGAGACCAGAGAGAGACCAGAGAGAGACCAGAGAGAGACCAGAGAGAGAGAGAGAGAGAGAGACCAGAGAGAGACCAGAGAGAGAGAGAGAGACCAGAGAGAGAGAGAGAGAGGCCAGAGAGAGAGAGAGAGAGACCAGAGAGAGAGAGAGAGACCAGAGAGAGACCAGAGAGAGAGAGAGAGAGACCAGATAGAGACCAGAGAGAGAGAGACCAGAGAGAGACCAGAGAGAGAGAGAGGGAGATAGAGAGAGATCGACAGCTAGATTGTAAACAATTAGGACCATCAGTGTTTTTTTACAGACAAAACCGACAAGGGACATTTACATAAAATCATAAAAATCTAACCCAAACACACTCCTCTCTATGGCCTTCCTCCAGTCCACGTGTGTGCGCTGTGATTGGTCAGGGCTGTCGTCCACATAACCATAGCATATTATTCTGTCATTTCCAGGCTCTTTCTGAACCATACATTCAAAAGAGAATCAAAAACATACGTAAACATATTCCAATAGATGAGAACACTCTGCTTTCCAATTTGAGCTGAAAGAGGCGAGACATCTCCGCCTTTGTCCTGGATAAACACATGAACAAACACAGTGGCTTTGAATGAGACGCAGTATGTGGCATTTCCAACATATACTCGAGCTTTCATGTCCCTGCAGCGGAGATTAGAGACAAAAGAGACTTATACATGTGCTTTTTCTTAGAATCACAAAAAGACAAATGAAAGACAAGACGGGACTCAAGCCTGGATCATGCTCATTTTGCTCCACTGAGGTCTCTCTGATGTGTCTGCATTCGTCAAACCGCTTTGTGACTCTGGTCTGTGACAGGCGGTTTATAAAAGACACAATACTTACTCACTACAACTACTTGTTGCACTAATTGGGGTTTGAGGACGTTTGCTCCAGAATCAGCATCAGATACAGATGGACAGACAGAGAGAGAGAGAGAGAGACAGATGGACAGAGAGAGAGAGAGACCAAGAGACCAGAGAAAGATACAGAAAGAGAGAGGCCAGAGAGAGGGAGAGAGAGAGACAGATGGACAGAGAGATATACAGGGAGAGAGAGAGACCAGAGAGAGAGAGAGAGAAAGAGAGAGAGAGAGAGAGAGAGAGATGGACAGAGAGAGATACAGGGAGAGAAAGAGAGAGAGAGAGAGAGAGAGAGAGAGAGAGATGGACAGAGAGATATACAGGGAGAGAGAGAGACCAGAGAGAGAGAGAGAGAAAGAGAGAGAGAGAGAGAGAGAGAAGGACAGAGAGAGATACAGGGAGAGAAAGAGAGAGAGAGAGAGAGAGAGAGAGAGAGAGATGGACAGAGAGATATACAGGGAGAGAGAGAGACCAGAGAGAGAGAGAGAGAGAGAAAGAGAGAGAGAGAGAGAGAGATGGACAGAGAGAGATACAGGGAGAGAAAGAGAGAGAGAGATGGACAGAGAGATACTGTATACAGGGAGAGAGAGACCAGAGAGATACAGAGAGAGACCAGGGAGAGAGAAACAGATGGACAGATAGAGCAGAAAGAAGCTCTCTGTTAGCAGCAGCATGTAGCATAACAGCAGTAGCAGCAGCAGCAGCAGCATCAGCAGTAGCAGTAGCAGTAACAGCAGTAGGAGTAGCAGTAGTCAAAAATTCTTGTTTAAAAGGATTTCTCCCTTGTAACGAGAAAACAAATCAACAGTTCTTAAGGAATAATTATTTTTGCAGTGCAGAGTAGAAATGTCAGTGGTGCATCACAAGTAACAGAACAGTAGGAATGAGCTATAAAATCTCTAACTTTAGCACAATAAAAAACATGAGAGAACAAAATGAGATTTGGTGAATGCCTTTTCTATTTGTACTCTCACAACTTCCTAGTTTGTCAAAACAATTCTGATGCTGAGAAGCCTGATGTTCCCAGCGGTCTCCATCAAGGCAAGGCATCCATCCATCCATCCATTTTCTACCCTTTAATCCATTTCTGGGTCAGGGGGGTGGCAGTCAGAGATGCCACCCAAGTCTCATAGCACCAGCCCATCACTGATCCTCTGCAGGTGGTGAGTCCACAGGAGGACGGCTATGTGAGCATAGCCTTGATCTTTCAGTGGGGGCTTTGGGCAAAGTGGGGTTAAGTGTCTTGCCCAAGGACACAACAACAGCAGTCATCAGTGGGAGTCGATGGAGAAGGTGCAGAGGTGGGAATTGAACCCACAACCTTCTGGGCTTAAGGCCAATGCTCTACCAACTGAGCTACTGTCGCCCCTAAGGCAAGGCAAGGAAAGTTTATTTAGCACAATTCATACACAAGGCAATTCAAAGTGCTGAACAAAATAAGAAAGCATTAAAATCATAAATAATCAAAGAACATTAAAAAGAAAGATAAAAATATAATATCCCTCAGTTGTATCACTGAACTAACCAGGCCCTGTCCTGCTTAGCTCCAGTGGTCTGACAGGATCTGACTTTACTAGTTTGCAGCGAGAGCCACAGCAAGTTCTAGTTTCTAACGCTAACCCCCATTTTATGTTTTATTTTAAAAAAATAGAGAATTTATAAACATTTTTATAAACAAAAATATGAAAATTATGAATAAAATAAAACAAAAACAAAAAGATATAACATTAAGCTTTGGTAAAATGTTTGATAATCAAACATTACTTCAGCAAATTACAATATTATATCTCATTTTAAAAAGTTGATATTTCTCAACAACAACAAAAATCCCAGAGTTAGAGCTTGCATTTCTGCATGTGGCCTCCTGCTGGGACTATGAGGAGGTAAATACAGTACACAGATACACAGTGCTCCACAGCTCTGCACCACCTTCTTTCAGCTCATGCAGCAACCCGCCTCCTCCCATCACAGAAGATATTTCAGACTGATCGATTCATTTACACGTATCATCAGTATCAAATCAGAATCCCACACCGATAACACAGACACAGGACACTTACTCGATGATGTTTTTGAAATCGGTTTCTCGAAAAACTTGGTGTGAGCGACGTCATCTTTGACCGTGGAGTTTTCTAGAGCTTCAGAGTTTGACACAGATTCTCCTGAAAAAAACACGATCCGGAAAAAAACTGTCACTGTAGATTCAGTTTGTGTACATTATATATAATCACAATGACAAAACAAATTAGGAAAATAAATGATAAATCAGCTGTAGAAGTAGCAGTAGTAGCAGTAGGATTATCAGCAGTAGCAGCAGCAGCAGTATCAGTAGCAGCAGCAATAGCATTATCATTAGCAGCAGCAGTAGCGGTAGCAGCAGCAGCAGCAGCAGCAGTATCATCATCAGCAGCAGCAGCAGTAGCAGTAGCAGTAGCAGTAGCAGTAGCAGCAGCAGCAGCAGCAGCAGTAGCAGTACCAGTAGCAGTAGCAGCAGCAGTAGTACCATCAGTCCTCTCTCACCTGGACAGGCCTTGAGTTTACAGATCAGCAGAGTGTCAGGTTTGTCCTCTGAACATTCTCCGATGGTGTTGTCGCTGCCTTTACAGACCACCTGCCTCTGCTGGATCCCCTCCCCACACGACACCGAGCACTGGTACAACACAACAACACAACATCAACACAACAACAACAACAGCAACACAACAACAACAACTATCAAAGCAAAACCAAACATGTTGCTTGCTGTAGGCCTGGTGTCAGATACTGCCTGGGTGTATCCCTTAGATAACGGTACACTTGCTCAAATCAATTCTATCTATTTTTGCATAGTCCTAGTTCAGTCGTTATCTCAAAGTCGATTCGCCAACACAGATCAGAGAATCAAACCGTTCCAACACAGGAAACGCAATGATAACAAACACATTGAGCCATTGGTCCCGAAAGAACAGAAACCAGTGTCCGGAAATGTCTGCATCGATAAGAAACAAATCATAAAATCCAATAGGAAAAAGTTAGAGACAGATAATATATTTATAGTAATGTGATATAAATATATGTCTAATCTATAAATATGTATATGGTGTTTTATGTGTGTATCTACCCCCCTCTCTCTCTCTTGTAAAAACTCAAGAGAAAACCAGAGAACGTGTGATAGTATAGAAGGTGTGGGACCTGGGACCAGGCTCCGGTCCTCCACTGGGCGGGGCACAGGCTCTGGTTGCAGGCCCGTCGGGGGTCTGGTCTCTCTGGGGGGCAGTGTTTGCTGTGGACGGGCCTCTGGGTGTTGTTGAGCAGCGGCTGCATGCACTGCACCACTCTGGTCTGGTACCCCAACTTCCCACAGGACTTGCTACAGGGACCCCAGGACTCTGCTACCCACCTTTAGGAGAGAGGCAGAGAGAGAGGGAGAGAGAGAGAGAGGGTGAGAGAGAAGGGAGAGAGAGAGGGAGAGAGGGGGAGAGGAGGTTAAAGTTGATGTAAGGAAGTTTCAAAGCACAATATATAACTGTAGACAGAGAGAGACACACGCACACAGACAAAAAGAGACAGAGAGGATGTAAGAGAGAGAGAGAAAGAAAGAGAGAGCCAGAGAGGCAGTCAGAGAGCGAGAGAGACAGACAGAGAGAGACAGAGAAAGACACAGATGAACAAAAAGAGAGAGAGAGAGAGAGAGAGAGAGAGAGAGAGAGAGAGAGAGAGAGAGAGAGAGAGAAAGAGAGAGAGAAAAAATGTGGGTGAAGTGCTAAGGACAGAATGACAGTTTGTGGTGTTTGGCCCCTGGTGTTCTCAAAGGTCCTGCAGGTGGCGCCACAATAATATGATAATATAGTATCAGTGAATTGTACAGATGAATGGCATAGAAGCAGGTTCATAAGTTCTCATTGTTGTCTCCTCTCCTTTACAGACTGAGGGTGGATCAATCTGTCACTGAAGCTACTCTCCAGAGCAGACAGAGTGCCCAGCAGGGGGCGACAGACATGGTCCAGTTTAGTCTAACATGGCTCTTGTTGGTCCACTTTAAATGTTAGTCTGACTCACGTGGGAGGGCTGCACTCCTGGCTGTTGCAGCGTTTGCGGATGGGTTTGGGTTTTTTACTCGTCTCACAGAAGTTACGGTGAACCAGACGACTGTCACTCTTCCTCCTGCAGCCATACTTGGTGTACTGGATCCCTGAAGGAGGAGGAGGAGGAGGAGGAGGAGGAGGAGGAGGAGGGAGAGGAGGAGGATGGTCAAGGAAGAAAAGGAAGGGGAAGAGCAGAAGGAGAAGAAGGAGCAGAAGTAGAAGGAGGGAGAAGACCAGGAGGACGATAAGGAGGAAGAGGAGGAGCATGTGAAGGAGGAGGAGGGGGAGGAGGAGAAGGAAGAAGAGGAGGAGGAAGAAGAGGAGGAGTATGTGAAGGAGGAAGAGGTGGAAGAGGTGAAGGAGGAAGAAGAGCACACATGAGCGTCATTACTGTGTGTAATAATTTTATCTCACATGTGACTATTTTAAATATTGACACACACACACACACACACAGATACACACATACATACACATGCTGTACACACACACACACATCCCTACATGTACCACACACACACACACACACACACATACCTACATGTACACACACACACACACACACACACACACACATACCTACATGTACACACACACACACACACACACACACACACACATACCTACACACACACACACACAGCAGATATGATTGTCTTTAATGAAACAATAACACATGTATCCACCTTGTTTACCATCATTTCATTTTATACTATAGCAGCAGCTGTTAATAATAACGCATCGGTTTTATATAGCGCTATTATCACCACGGCAACGTTCTTTCACAACCCGATCTTCTTTCAGCTAAATGACTCCGCGCATGTTTTTAGTGGTAGGGGAAACCGGAGTACCCGGAGGTAACCGGAGCACCCCTACGCAGACACGTGTAGACAAGGCAAGGCAAGGCAAGTTTATTTGTATAGCACAATTCATACACAAGGCAACTCAAAGTGCTGAACAAGATAGCATTAAAATCATAAATAATTACAGAACATTAAAACGAAAGATAAAAATATAAAATCCCTCAGTTGTATGCACAGCTAAACAGCACCGTTTTTAACCTGGTTTTAAACATTGTCAGAGAGGAGGCCTGTCTCACATCTTCAGGAAGATTGTTCCAGATTTTAGCAGCATGGATCTGAAAAGCAGCCTCCCCATGTTTAGTTCTGACTCTGGGCACTAACAGGAGTCCAGTCCCTGTGCTCCTCAGAGTCCGGGCTGGTTCATATGGGACTAACATGTCACTAATATATTTTGGTGCGAGGCCATGGAGAGACTTGTACACAAGCAAAGCTGTTTTAAAGTCTATTCTCTGAGCCACAGGAAGCCAGTGCAGAGACCTGAGGACCGGACTAATGTGGTCGTACTTCCTGGTTCTAGTCAGGACTCGAGCTGCTGCATTTTGAATGTACTGCAGCTGTTTTACAGCCTGTTTGGACAGACCTGTGAGCAGGCCATTGCAGTAGTCTAACCTACTGGAGACAAATGCATGGATAAGAATCTCCAGGTCTGCTTTAGACACCATGTTTTTGATCCTGGCAATGTTTTTTAGATGGTAAAAAGCTGCTGATGTTACTGATTTGATGTGGCTATTAAAATTTAAGTCTGAGTCCAGTATTACCCCTAGATTTCTGACCTTGTTTGAAGGTTTTAGGGAGAGAGACTGTAGGTGACAGATGACGCTCTCTCTTTGTTTCTGGGGACCAAAGACAATCATTTCAGTTTTGTCTGCGTTTAGCTGAAGGAAGTTGTTTTGCATCCACTCACTGATCTGTTGGATACAGTGAAGGAGTGAGTCCACTGGTCCATGTTCTCCTGCAGTCAGTGAGACATAGATCTGAGTGTCGTCTGCATAGTTATGATAGGAAACTTTGTTTCTGCGTATTAACTGACCTAACGGCAGCATGTAGAGATTGAACAGAAGAGGTCCCAGGATCGACCCCTGTGGGACTCCACAGGTCAGGGCCATATGATCTGAGACACAGTTTCCAATCTCCACAAAGTACTTCCTGTCTTCAAGGTAAGACCTAAACCAACTTAGGGCGGTGCCAGCGACGCCAACCCAGTCCTCTAGTCTCTGTAAGAGGATCTCATGGTCGACAGTGTCAAAGGCAGCACTTAGATCTAACAGGATTAGGATTGAGACTGCGTCAGTGTTCAGCCGGATATCATTTGTAACCTTGACGAGAGCAGTCTCAGTGCTGTGGTGGGGTCTAACGCCGGACTGAAACATATCAAATGAGTTGTTGATTATAAGAAATCTAGTAAGCTGTAGGTAGACAACTTTCTCAAGGACTTTCCCCATAAATGGCAGATTTGAGATGGGACGATAGTTGTTAAGTACCGTAGCATCCAGACTGCTCTTTTTTAGCAGGGGCCTGATGACTGCAGTTTTCAGGGCCTTTGGGAATATTCCAGAATCAAGGGACATGTTTACTATCTGTGTGAGTGAAGGTAACAGACTGCTCAGAACAGACTTTAGAAATCTAGTGGGTAGTACATCCAAGCTGCATGTGGAGGAGCTCAAACTGGAGATTATCTCTTGGACAGTTTTATCATTTACAGGTGCAAAGTAAGTAGGCTCAAAGAGCCTTTCTGGCTGTTGGATTGTTATCTGTGGATTCGAGACAATGGCGTTTTTGATGCCTTGAACCTTGTCATTGAAAAAATTTGCAAACTCATTACATTTACGTTTGGAAGTTAGCTCTAATGGCATTTGAACATACAAACTCCATTCAGAAAGGCCCTGTTCTGACCGGGATTCAAACCCAGGACCTTCTTGCTACTACTACAACTACTACTACTACTACTACTGCTACTACTACTACTACTGCTACTACTGCTACTGCTACTACTACTACTACTACTACTGCTACTACTACTACTACTGCTACTACTGCTACTGCTACTGCTACTACAACTACTACTACTACTGCTACTGCTACTGCTACTGCTACTACTACTACTACCACTGCTACTACTACTACTACTACTGCTACTACTACAAGTACTACTGCTACTGCTACTACTACTACTACTACTACTACTGCTACTACAACTACTACTACTGCTGCTACTGCTACTGCTACTGCTACTACTACTACCACTGCTACAACTACAACTACTATTACTACTACTACTACTACTACTACAAACTGCTACAACTACAACTACTACTACAACAACTATTACTACTGCTACTGTTGCTACTACTACTATTACTTCCACTACTGCTGCTACTCCTCCTCCTGCAGTACCTACCTCCTCCACAGGGCTTGGAGCACTGGGACCAGCTCTTCAGCGCCCACTCGTACGTGTCCAGCTCAGCGAGGAGAACGTTGTTGTTGGTGATGAGAGGAAGCAGGTCCTCGTGGATGATGTATTTATACGTCAGACTGGTCTTCACCTCCTCCTCCTGAGGAATCACCTGCAAAACACACACACTTTTCAATAAATAGGTTTAAATATCATTAATTATGAAAACGTGGAGATTTGTCATGGCACTAAGCTGGGGAGATGGATCCATTCTGTGCATATGTGTCTGATACCAGAGAGAGACCAGAGACAGACTAAAGAGAGACCAGAGAGAGACCAGAAAGAGACCAGAAAGAGACCAGAGAGAGACCAGAAAGAGACCAGAGAGAGACCAGAGAGATCAGAACGAGAGAGAGGCCAGAGGGAGACCAGAGATAGACCAGAGAGGGACCAGAGAGACACCAGTGAGAGACCAGAAAGAGAGACCAGAGAAACCAGAGAGAGACCAGAGACAGACTAAAGAAAGACCAGAGAGAGACCAGAGAGGTCAGAAAGAGAGAGAGGCCAGAGGGAGACCAGAGATAGAGGGATAAAGAGAAAGACTAAAGAGAGACCAGAGAGAGATCAGACAGAAACCAGAGAGAGACCAGCGAGACCAGAGGCACCAGAGAGAGACCAGAGAGACTAGAGAGAGAGAGAGGTCTGCATGTATACTGAGGTCCATGGTGCTTCTCACCAGGACTATGATGCCCTCGTGCAGGGGTCCGCTGGTCTTCAGGGTCTCCTTATCTCCCTCCATCACATACTCCCACTCCAGCCCGTTCTCGATGAAGGTCCTCCCCTGCGCCTCTTCACTCTTACTGTTCAGGATGAAGTTTCCTGTCACCTGGTTCTTCACAGCTACCAGGAAGAAAACACAAGAAATAGCTACATTTTGAACAAGTGAAAGGAGACGACAAAACCAGAGAGAGACCAGAAAGATAAAAGAAAGAATAGAGAGAGACCAGAGCGAGACCAGAGAGAGAGACCAGAGAGAGAGCAGATAGAGACCAAAAAGACCAGTGCAGAACCCAGAGAGACCAGAGTGATAATAGAGGGTAGAGAGAGAGACCAGAGATAGATCAGACAGAGACCATAGAGACCAGAGTGAGACTAGAGAGGGTAGAGAGAGAGAGAGAGAGAGAGAGACCAGAGCTTGTGTTATTTAGGAGACAGAGAAGTAAATAACATTGCAATACAATCATTCTCACTGTCTCTTTAAAGTCACATGTTTTGACAGAAAACACATTACATTCATGACACATCTTTGGCTCAGACCTGTGCAGCATGAAATGAAGGAATTATTAACTGCATTTAAGACACAACACTGAAGATAAGAGCTGCAGGGTCTGAACTCTGAGGTCAGAGTCATGCCGGCTGTGGAAGGAAGGACCCTATATTCATATGCCGCATCTCACAGACCAAGGTCACATTTTATATTGTGCCAGCATTTCCCACTCACTCCAACAGAGAGGGAAAGACCAGAAACAAAAAACAGAAAGAGACCAGAGAGAGAGAGAGAGACCAGATGAAAATACCAAAGAGAGATTGGAGGGAGACCAGAGAGAGAGGGAGAGAGAGAGAGAGAGAGAGAGAGAGAGAGAAAAGAGTGAAAGACCAGATAAAAAGACGAAAGAGAAACCAGAGAGAGAGGGACTAGAGAGGGAGACCAAAAAAAGAGAGAGAGACAAGAGAGAGAAACCAGAGAGAGAGAGACCAAAGAAAGACTAGATGAGGAGACCAAAGAAAGAGATCAAAGAGATAGACCAAAAGAGAGAGACCAGAGAGGCACCAGAGAGAGAGCCCAGAGAGAGAGGGAATAAAGAGGGAGACCAGAAAAAGAGAGAGAGAGAGAGAGACAAGAGAGAGAAGCCAGAGAGAGAGACCAAAGAAATACTAGAAAGGGAGACCAAAGAAAGAGATCAGAGAGAGAGACCAAAAGAGAGGGACCAGAGAGAGACCAGAGAGAGACCAGAGAGAGACCAGAGAGAGAGACCAGAGAGAGACCAGAGAGAGACCAGAGAGAGACCAGAGAGAGACCAGAGAGAGACCAAAGAGTGGGGGACCAGAGAGACCACCGTGCACTTCACTTGTAACAAGAATCTATGAGAGATCATCGAGCGAGAGAGTAAGAAATATGTGGGACATGGTTTTACCGATTAAATGTGGCGAGGTCTCGTTCTCTTCGATGACGATGTGCCGCGCTCCAATGGGAATGTCGAACATCTTCAGCATTCCTGAATCCCACCAGAGAGAATAAGAAAAATGAAGACACAGAGGACATGGCAGGTCAAAGGTCTAACACTGCTTCACTCAATGAGTCATGTTTCTGCAAATACTGTTTGGAGAAAGAGACGATACAGGGACTAGAGAGAGATACCATGGGAGACCAGAGAGAGACTAGAGAGAGACTGGTGAGTCACCAGAGGGAGACCAGAGAGAGACCAGAGAGAGAGACGAGAAAAACATCAGAGAGAGAGATCACACAGAGATTCTTCCCTCTGGCAGAAGATATCGGTCGCTGAGATGCAAGACATCTCGCTATGCTAACAGCTTCTTTCCACAGGCTGTTAGGTGCCTAAACAGAGCACTTTAATTCCTGCTTTTACCCCTTGTATCGTTTTGTTGATCGGTGCAACAGTGTCAGCTGTTTTTTTATTCTTTTATATTCAGTGTATGTGTATTTTATATTACATTGTATCGTGCTTTTTATTCTGTCGGTGCACACAGAGTACCTTTTTTTGCAAATGTATTCCAATGTAGTTTTTATACTGCACATGGCTAATAAAATGAATCTGAATCTGAATCTGAGAGACCAGAAAAAGACCAGAGTGATCAGAGAGAGACTAAAATGAACAGAGAGAGACTACAACCCTCCTCTCATGGACAACAACCAGATGCAACAATAATGTCTGTGACCTGGACTTTGCTTTATTACTGGTTTAAAGATTTGGGGATTCAGGCTCTACACTTCATTCTGTTTCTCTCTGTGAAAATGGCATTGATTCAAATGCATGGTTACTCACATGGTACCCACTCACATGGTTACCGTATGTGTGTTTGGGGTTGTACCGTTCTTCTTGGGCGTCTTGGTCAGCGTGAGTTTGACGGTGCGACAGTGAGAGTTGTCCCCTTCGCAGACGCCGCACTTGTCCTCGCTTTTGTACGAACCCACCTCCTTATCACAGCCCACGTGCTGTAGAGCAAGACACGTGTAGTTAGAGACCAGAGAGAGACCAGAGAGAGTCCAGAAGGACCAGAGAGAGACCAGAGAGAGACCAGAGAGAGTCCAGAAGGACCAGAGAGAGACCAAAGAGAGACCAGAGAGAGACCAGAGAGAGTCCAGAAGGACCAGAGACAGACCAAAGAGAGACCAGAGAGAGACCAGAGAGAGTCCAGAAGGACCAGAGAGAGACCAGAGAGAGACCAGAGAGAGACCAGAGAGAGTCCAGAAAGACCAGAGAGAGACCAGAGAGAAACCAGAGAGAGAGACCAGAGGGGGACCAGAGAAACCAGAAAGACCAGAGAGAGACCATAGGGAGACCACAGAGCGACCAAAGAAAGACTCGTGTGGGACCAGGGAGAGATCAGAGAGAGAGAACAGAAAGACCAGAGAGAAACCAGAGACAGAGTCCAGAAAGACCAGAAAGAGACTAGAAAGAGTCCAGAAAGACCAAGAGCAAGAGTAGCAGTAGTAGTTGCAGTACTAGTAGCAGTAGCAGTACTCACCAGACACTCTCCTCTCGCACATACACTGAAGGGGTCGCTGTAGCTGCACCTGGTACCATCGTGCATCACCTGGTTCATGGACACCACTTCTCCCGTCTCCTTGGAGACACAGGACAACTCACACTTACTGCTCTCTGTGGAACCACACAAACACATCTGCATCAGTGTGAAGCTGAGACCAGAGAAAGAGAGAGCAGAGAGAGACCAGAAAAAGGCCAGAGAGAGATTGGAGAAAGACACCGGAGAGAGACACCAGAGAGAGAGCAGAGAGAAACCGGAGAGAGAGACTGGAGAGAGATCAGAGAGAGACCAGAGAGAGACCAGAGAGAGACACCAGAGAGAGACCGGAGAGAGCCCTGACAGAGAGACTGGAGAGAGGCCAGAGAGAGACTAGAGAGAGACCGAGGAGAGACCAGAGCGAGAGACCAGAGTGAGAGCAGTTAAATACCAGAGAGAGAGACCAGAAAGACCAGAGAGAGAGACCACAGAGAGACAAAGAGAGAGGCACAGATGTGGATAAAGTGCTGGAGCTAACCGTCAGGGTGTTCGTAGGGTAACCAGGTGTGCTTGGTGTTCTTATGGTACTTGTTGCTCCTCTGAGTGCACTGCTGAGCCCTGAAGTCCTCATATGGTCCTGCACACTCCTCCGTGTTGCACATCTGGTAGTCGAAGGCCGAGCCGGGGCAGTCTCTCCCTCCGTACGCAGGACTGAGGAGAGAGGCAAGAGGGGGGAGGAGGAGTAGGAGGAGGAGGTGTTACAGCTACCTGAGTTGTTTTGCTTCAAAAGTAGTACATAGTTTGTCCCAAAAGAAGAGTCAAGAGAGACCAAAGAGAGAACAGAGAGAGACCAAGGACAGACCAGAGAGAGAGACAAGAGCAAGACAAGAGAGACCAGAGAGAGACCAGTGAGAGAGACCAGTGAGAGAACAGAGAGAGACCAAAGACAGACCAGAGAGAGACCAGTGAGAGAGACCAGAGAGAGAGCAGAGAGAGACCAAAGACAGACCAGAGAGAGAGACAAGAGCACGACAAGAGAGACTAGAGAGAGACCAGAGAGAGACCAGAGAGAACGTCCAGAGAGAGAGACCAGAGAGAGACCAAAGAGAGAGACCAGAGAGAGACCAGAGAGAGACCAAAGAGAGAGACAAGAGAGAGAGACCAGAGAGAGAGACAAGAGAGAGACCAGAGAGAGACCAAAGACAGACCAGAAAGAGAGACAGGAGCAAGACAAGAGAGAGACCAGAGAGAGAGATGTGCAGTTGAATATTAGCCTCAGATTTTCATGTTGTAATGTTTCAGAGCGACAACTTTTAATTGGACACAACATGATCAGCCCATAGTGTCAGAAAGGGACTCACAGGGCTCTTTCTTACACAATAAACATGTTTTCTAATGAGATAAGACTCTCACAAAGTTAGTTAGTTTGAGGAGCTTTGAGCAGTGACAGTCTGATCAAAGTAACGTCCATCAAACGCCAAGGCCAAGAGGTCTCTGAAATTACCCTTCAATCTCGTCTCTTCTCTCCGGAACATCATTTATGACAATAGACTTACATGCAGGAGGAGGCGTCTGGGGAGGGGGGAGGTTGGAAGCTCGTTTATGTAAGTCTAGAATCAGATGTTAGGGGGTCACGTTGTCTGTTTGACGTATTACATGAGGAGCCCTGAGGCGGATTTGTAATAACTGAGACAAAACCAGTCACCGCAACAGGAGTCACCCGGCAACACGAGAGGAGCGCTCTGATTGGCCGAAAGTTGCGTTCTGGATTGATTTGTTTATGATCAATATGCAACATGTACTACTGACCTCTGTCACAGCTTTAGGGTTTTCAGACAGAAACGTGACAAAGAGAGGACCACTGTTGTCTCGGGTTATCTTGTTGTCTTGTTTTGTTGCTGTTTTGTGGCAAATTAGAAAACATTTATCTTAAAGTTAATTCATTCTTCTCAACCAGACACTTGTAAGATAGCAATGTTTTTATCTTGACATGTTTTGACAGAAAACAAGAAGACAAATATTTCTGAACTAAAATGTTATCTGGTTTGAAAGAGTTCTATGAGAACCAGTCATTCTCTACTCTACTCTACTCTACTCTACTCTACTCTAGTCTAGTCTAGTCTAGTCTAGTCTAGTCTAGTCTAGTCTAGTCTAGTCTAGTCTAGTCTAGTCTAGTCTACTCTACTCTACTCTACTCTACTCTACTCTACTCTACTCTACTCTACTCTACTCTACTCTACTCTACTCTACTCTACTCTACTCTACTCTACTCTACTCTACTCTACTCTACTCTACTCTACTCTACTCTACTCTATTCTACTCTACTCTACCCCGATTGGGAGAGAGAGAGAGACCAGAGAGTGATCAGAGACACTAGTGGGAGAAGATTTTGCTTCATAATAATAAATCATTTCTATTTTTTCCAGAGGGGCAATTCAAACTACTGTGTGTTCTGTATTGATCCACGTCTCCAATTCTGTGGCAAGTTTGGAAAGTAAGATACAAAGTTTTGAAGAAATTGTTCCATTTATTTCTTGCTCGCAGCTCGGAGTCAGCGGGAAGGATCTGCAACTGGCTCAACATTATAGTAGCAGTAGCCTTTTCTACTTTCAGCATTTTTGTTGTTGTCAATATTTTAGGTCTTTTCATGTCTCTTCCCGACTAGAATGTGGTAGAAATGTTGATTCTTAGTTTTGAAGCTTTTTAGCAGCAAACGACGGCTCGTACACACATGGTCAGATCAGCGAGTGACGAGCGCCTCTTTTCAGCAGCGTCTCACAGGTCTCCTCTAAAGTTTAAATACAAGTGATGTGTGTGGAGCTGCTCTAACGCCAAGGACCATCAGCACAAACATGTTCCATGTGGTTTGACTGGAGCCGCGTCACTGCGAGGATCCTTTGGTCTGCGTGAAGCGGAGAGACTTGTGCATTTGCGGCCGTTATGTGTCCGTTATTACTATGTCAGTGAAAATATAGTCATTTACAGACATTGCTTATCAAAGGTGAATGCACTGTTAGATCTCAGACGTCCTCCGCGATTATCACAAATTACCAGAGGTCCGCAGGTAATACTAGTCCTGTGCAAATAGGGCTTTAGCAGCAGTTGTCATGGTAACAGTACATAAAAGCACCAGTATCTGCCATAGTTTCACCTTGTTTCTTTACAAATGTATTTCTATTTACTATTTGGCTGAGTGTTGGTGAGCGGTGTTGGCTGCGGTTGTGTGTAGTGATTGTGGTTGTGTAGCAGTTGTGTGTAAGTGTGGTTGTGTGTGTGTTTGCATGTGTTGTGTGCGTGTAGTTATTGCACTTGTGCGTAATGGTTGTGATTGCATGAGTGTGGCGGTTGTGTGTGTGCGTGTATGCAATTTTGTGTAATGTGTGTGTGTTGTACTCACGCAGGGTTGTTGCACTGCCTGTTGCGCGCTCTGACTCCGCCTCCACACGTCCGGGAGCAGGAGCCCAGTTTGGACCAGGGCCCCCAGGAGCCGTCATGGCCCTGAGGCTCCTGACTCGTCCTCCAGATGCAGTGTCCCTTAAAGCACCACTAAGACAGAGAACAGACCTCTTTATTTACAGTGAGTAGCGCATTTCACAGACCAAGTTCACGCACAAACACTTCCTTTTAAAGTTATTTAGTTTGTTTATGATTCTATGAAGATTCAAAAATTCAATAGTGTAACTTTAACTCTAACTTTAACTTTATTAAACTGAGAAAATGAGACAAACCTTCCTAAATCAACATTTAGAGTAGACTAGAAGGTAACTAGTATGAGTCTGGTGTGTGTGTGAATGGTTGGTGGTGGGAGGGGCTGATGGCACAGAATGGTTGCCTCTTCTGTCTGTGTGTCCCAGGGCAGCTGTGTCCAAGTAGAGGTTTAGAGACACAACAACAGCTGGTGTTTGTTGAGGTCTCCCATCACAGTCCTCACCAGACCTTGCCCTGCTTAGCTTCTGAGGTCTGATTACATTTTTACATGATGGCCTCCAAGAAATGAATGTACATAATATTCTAACCTAATACAGATGGTTTCCAAAAGGACCATTTAAGTTTCTCCTAATTCATAACCTCCATCTTTCTGTCTCTGCTCCTAATCTCTGTCTCGTTGATGATCTGGAAGTGTCATGCAGGGGATTCGACTCCAATTAAAATCCAATCTGTTCAAAGGATCAGAACGTTTCAAATGGTTCAATTTTTTAAAAGTGAGAATGAATCACTTTAAGAAACAGAAAAGACAGAATTAAGAAGAGGACAGGAGGTGATGGAAGAGAACAGTCCCTGTCACAGAGGACTATTAGACTGACAGGGGAGGAGGAGGAGAGAGAGGAGAGAAAGAAGGAAGAGTTACGGAAGAAGGAGAGAGAGAAAGACAGAGAAAGATTAGGAGGAGAAGAGAGAGAGGAGGAGGAGAGAGCACCCAACATGTTTCCTTTAAGAAACATGAATTCAATTCAATGTATTTGTGCATCGCCCTAAACCACAGCAGCAGTCGTCTCTGAGGACTTAGTAAAGTTGTCGATTCAGCAAAAACAGATCAGAGAAACAGCATGAACACAGGAAATGCAATAACAACAAACTCATAGACCTGGATCATCACTGTCCTTTGCCCCACCCCCTGCGTCAGGAAGGAACCAATCAGAGACCTACCTTCCCTGGAGCGCACTCTGTCCCGTCCACTGGAGGACCCTTCTTGGTTTTGCAGAAGTACTGGTTGTCCGGGTGACTGCACCATAACTGTTTACACGGGTCATACGTCCGGAACTGGAAGAAACACAAATTATCATCATTAATATCGTCACTTGTTTCCTAAAAAAGATTTTTGAAAAACCCACATAGTCACACGGGAATTTTGGCACATTTGCTGCTGGCTACAGCGATCTCCTGCTGTGTCTGCACTTTGTTGTAGTGGTCACAATCCAGGAATCAATGAGGAAGATTCAAACACAGAAATCAACCCATTTCTATTGTTTCCATTTGTTTCTCTCGGTCTCTTTTGTGTCATCAGCTGAAACGTGGTCGCCTCTTGTTGGGACTCCGAGGAGCACAGGGACTGGCCTCCTGTTGGGACTCCGAGGAGCACAGGGACTGGCCTCCTGCTGGGACTCTGAGGAGCACAGGGACTGGCCTCCTTTTGGTCCTAGAGTTAGGACTAAACATGGGGATTCAGTGTTTCAGACTCATGACGCTAACATCTGGAACATCCTAAGACCTTCTGTGAGTTGTCTTGTTTTGTTCAGCACTTTGAGTTGCCCTGAGTATGAACTGTATTATACAAAACTAATTATGCACTCAGTCTTTCACTCATTCCAATTCCAAGTTTAAAATGGCCTTTTTCTGCTCAAGATCCAGACTCGGGCCTCAGTAACCTTCATCCACTTTACAATACTATGGGCATTCTTCAGACGGAAAAAAACGTTTGTATAAGTCCTCAACCCTGGGTCACAGGTTTGCACATTTTGCAGAATAGACCTGATTGCTTCTATTGTGCTAAAGGTTACTGCTCATTCTGGTTTACTGACGGAGGATAAAGAGCATTGAAAGAGAGACCAGAGAGACAGCGACCAGAGAGAGACTGGAGAGACAGAGACCAGAGAGAGACAAGAGAGACAGCGACCAGAGAGAGACAAGAGAGACAGAGGCCAGAGAGAGACTAGAGAGAGACAAGAGAGACAGAGACCAGAGAGAGACAAGAGAGAGACAAGAGAGACAGCGACCAGAGAGAGACTGGAGAGACAGAGACCAGAGAGAGACAAGAGAGACAGCGACCAGAGAGAGACAAGAGAGACAGAGGCCAGAGAGAGACTAGAGAGAGACAAGAGAGACAGAGACCAGAGAGAGACAAGAGAGAGACAAGAGAGACAGAGACCAGAGGGAGACTACAGAGACAGAGACCAGAGAGAGACTAGAGAGACAGAGACCAGAGAGAAACTGGAGAGACAGAGACCAGAGAGAGACTAGAGAGACAGAGACTAGAGAGAGATTTGAGAGACAGAGACCAGAGAGAAACTGGAGAGACAGAGACTAGAGAGAGACTAGAGAGAGACTAGAGAGACAGAGACCAGAGAGAGACAAGAGAGACAGAGACCAGAGAGAAACTGGAGAGACAGAGACCAGAGAGAGACCAGAGAAACAGAGACCAGAGAGAGACCAGAGAAACAGAGACCAGGGAGAGCACGCTAACCCCTACCTTATCCCCAATCTTAACTTGATTGTGACTTTTAAAGAATTGTCACAAACTGTGGATAGCAACTTCAGCCAGAACAAAATACCAAGATTCTAGTGAGTTCCTGGAGAAAAGGACAGAACGTTTTACACTGTGAAATCTTACCGCGGTGCACATTTTGTATCCAACCCCGAAGTCAAAGCGACACTGTTCGTCCATAGAGTAGTTGATCCCCGGCAGCTCCGGCTGTTTGGGCCATTTGTGCTCGAATGGATCGTCCAGCAGACAGTCGTACGAGCTGCACCAGGACACAGACAGAATAATCAGCAAAGATAGATAGATAGTTCAAGATTCAAGATTTTTATTTGTCAAACCAAGTGAATGGTTTGAAATTATATTTCTCTCATCCTTGATTGTGGAGCGGGGGGTGGGGGGGAAGAGGGGTGGGAGGGAGGGCAGGGAGTTCAGCTGATGGCCTTGTGAATGAAACTGTTTTTAAGTCGACTGGAACTGTTCCGTAAATTCTGCAGTCTCCTCCCTGAAGGCATTACCCTGAAGAGCCTGTGTGATGGGTGCGTAGGGTCCCTGGTGATTCTGACGGCTTTGCGGGTGAGACGGGTGGAGTACATGTCCTTAATGGTGGGGAGAGGGGCTCCACAGATCTTCTCTGCTGCTCTCACGATGCGCTGGAGGCTCCTTCGGCAGGAGGCAGTGCTGGTGCCGTGCCACCCAGTGATGGAGCTGGTCAGGATGCTCTCTACAGTCCCTCTGTAGAAGTTTCCCACAACGGAGGCCGGGACTCCTGTAGCGCCTCTTGTGACGCCTCCACTGTGCTGCAGATGCGTGGGGCCCTCGGTGACCTGTCAGCGCTTCAGAAGATGATATCTCTGGATTTGTAGGTCTTAAATACTGCTCAAAAAGCCTTTAGCTCAGATGCTAACTGTGTGTTTACTTTTAAAAACACATCCTCTGTTCATTGCTAGCAAAGAGCTTTGGCAGTAAAAAATCCGCTGAACTCCACAAAAACATGGCAAAGATGTACAGCAACATCTTGCAAAACAATGCGGATCACAAAAACTGCAAATGCAGTTTGCAGAAAAGGGTAGAAAAGGGTAGAAACATCACCTTGTCAAAAGAGAGAGAAGCCGCAGCATGTTCATGCGCCATAACATGGTATAGTTAGATAGATACTTTAATGATCCCCCGTATGAGAAATTCAGGTGTCCAGCAGCAGAAGACGCTTTTTTTTTTGTTGAACAGTCAGTCAGGTTTTTTGTACAGCCTGTTTGTTGTACAGTCTGACAGCCGAAGGAACAAAGGATCTCTTGAAACGTTCCGCTCGGCAGTGTATTGATAGGAGCCTGTTGCTTCGATTACTCCTCTGAGCGGCCATAGTGTCATGCTGAGGGTGTCTGGAGTTACCCAGGATGCCCTGCATTAGAGCCCTCATCCTTTTCTCCGGCACAGCTCCCACAGAGTCCACACTTCTCCCCATCACAGAGACACAAAGTCAACTGTTTCAAGCATTTCCCCCTTTTATTACCTTAGCCCCATGTCCACCAGCCCTGCAAAAAGTCTACTATTCTCTACTCTACAGTAATCTAATCTAATCTACTCTCGTCCAACTCCCCTGTTGCCCTGTCCTCTACTCTCCTATCTCTTCTCTTGGCCCGGAAGACAGATATAAAGGAAAGTAATGACAAATTATACCTAAAACAGGAAATAAAAAGAGCAAAACATCTAAACATGCCTCTTTATGGCACGACTGGACGCTGATGGGCGGTTGTCCAGACTCAGAGCCGACAGATAGAGTATAGTATTGAACTGGCTGTGAGTGTTCCTACTGTTTTCTGAGAGTATAGTCGAGAAGGATAGGAGGCATACAGACTGGTGCTCTGGTCCTGGGGTGAGCTGAGGGTGGTGTGTGTCCCACTGAGGCTGGGACCGTGCCACGACTGAACTGCCTCTCACTATCCTCTACTTTCTATAGTCCCAACAGAAAGAGGGCTCTTTGGGCTGAGAGTTGATTGGCTGAGTGAGGGTGGATCTATCTTTGTCAAAAAACTGATCTAAAGATGTGACAGAGAAAGAAATGAACTTGAAAACAAAAAGTGATAGAATCAACTGTTTTGAGAGCGAGAAACAAGTTACATACATTTTTATTAGAAAGTTCCAACTGTTGTGGTTTGAAAGTTTTAAAATCCCCAAATAGAATGGGAACACCAAATATGGGTTTTGTTCATCGCTATGGTAACAGCCCCAACTTAGGTGTGAATTCTATTTCCATGGCGACGGATGACATAGAGAATAGAATCTCTGAAGGATGGTGACGTCACTCCGTCTCCATGGCGACTGATGACATACAGAATAGAATCTCTGAGGTCCCTAAGTTTTCCCCAGAGGGACAGCACCCTGGTTGGATACACTTAATTCTCACGAAGCAACAGGTGGAGTAAGTCCTTGATCAGAAAGACGACAATCGATCTAAATACGTTAGCAGCTAAGACTTAAGTTTAAGTTTATTAGAGATGGATAGGAAAAAGAACAAGATGAGGGGGAATAAACCTTCTCAACCTCTACAAGAGGATGCTATTTTCAAGGGTCTGGATCCTGCGGTTCAGGAGTTCTTGAATTGGAAGATCAAGAAAATGAACGAAGTTATGAATCACAAATCCAAAAGCTTCCAAGAAATCATAGAAAACAAACTGATGGAAATCCAGACGCTGAAGGCGACACTGGCGAAGTTAAAGAGCGATCAGGAGCAGGCGGCGAAGCCCAGTCTCGAGCTCAAAGCTCTCAAAACTGAACTGCTGCGACACAAGTCCAATAACGAGACGCTGCAGAAGGAAAGTGCCGAAGCCAGCGCTCTCGTCAAGAAGCACAAGAAAGACTGTGAGAAATCAGACAAGAAAGTCTTGGAGCTGAAGGCCATGTACGCGGAACAGAAGGACAAGTACGAGAAACAGCTGTCAGAACAGGCCAACGCTCAGGCCAAGAGAGTGGACGAACTTAAGAAACTGAACAAGGGATTGAAAGAGGACCTGAGCCTTCAGAGCAGAGACTGGGAGAAGAACAAAAACAGTTTGTCTGCGACTGTAGCTGAAAAAAATAGAAAGATCGCTGAACTGTCGGCTCAGCTTAAAGAGTATCAGGATAAGACGAGAAAGTTTGATGACAACACCAAAAAGAGAGACTCGATTCTAGACGCGATGGAGTGTTTGTACCACATAGACGTGGAAGACTTGCGCAAAGACAACTACAACTTAAACGAGGAGGTGAACTCTCTCTCTGTCGACATCGCGGAAATAGAGAAAGAGATCGCAAAGTTGAAAGATGAGAAAAGATCCATGCACAAAACCCTGCGCGAGAAAGACCACGAGCTCTTTCTGCGCGACAAGGAAAGTAAGCTGACAAGCAAGGTTCTGAACACAGAGGAAACCAAAGGCGTCATGCTGGAAACCAAGCGCAAAAACGACATTAGTATAATCCAGAATCTGCAAAGTGAGAAAAGCAAACTGGAGGAGCAGCTGAAGAAGACTAAAGCTGAGCTGCAGGCGACACGGCAGCAGTACAACGGCGCCAGCTACAAGATCAGAAGTCTCAGACATCAAGTCAAATCGTGCGAACCGACAATCGCAGAAGAGAAAGACCGCTTTGTGCTCTTAGAGAAGAAGTTAGGTGCGGTTATGGGGAGTTTGAGCGGTTGTAAAGACGTACTGGAAGAACCCAGACAGCTCAAGACCAAAGTGGAAGCCATGATCGCCCATTTTCTCCACGGACACAACGCGCCACCGGAGAACGAAACGGCAATTCTGCAAGTTATGCTGAAAAACAACATTCTCCGCTCCCAGAGAACCATGAACCATTACCGCGCAGAGACCGACAGAAACAACGCCATCATGAGTAATAGACTGGCCATGGTGGAAAAGTCCAGGGATCAACTGGTTCCCATCGTGAACGCGCAGAGGATGGAGATTCTAAAGACCAAGAAGAAGGAGCCCAAACCAGTCAAGACCCCAGTGACCAAGAAAGTCACCAAAAAGAAGCAATCTTAAATTGTTTTGAGAACCGTGCAAAGCTCCATAAACTCAGCCGCCAGCGATAGATACGAAATCTAAATATTAGGAGTTAATGGTTGTTAAATGTGTCTTGTGGGATACAAGGCACATTTAACATGTTTTAAAGTCATCATATAATGCGAGAAGCAGTTTTCTCTCACTCTTCAGACCACTACAGGAGTCCCACTGGTTTGACTTACTTTGTTTACCATTTTTTTGTTCTGGGTCCGGGATAGTTTGATCACAGAGTCAGAAATGCAGAAAGATATGGTGAAAAAAGTAGAAAACAAGTGGAATTGTTGCGGTGGTCAGAGGGGCCGGGGTGAAGCAATGGCGGCTCATATTTAAAATGGATGACAATGACCAATTCCTGATTGTGTTTTTATGGTTTGACTGTTTGCACTCGCTGGTATAATACAGAAAGGGTGGGACTATACTCTCTCTTAGCGCCATTAGTGGTCAATAATAGTCTACATTAACTTGCACTGATTCAAAAGAAAGACAAGTTCTCTGGTTTGCACAAAAAACCTCTACAATAGTTTGACTGTGGGACATCGGATGAAAGAAAAACTTGAATAAAAATGTGAGCAATAAAAAATCAAAGGTCTTTTTGCGTTGATATTTTTATTGGGGGCGACAGTGACTCAGATAGTAGAGTATTGGCCTTTGAGCCTGAAGGTCGTGGGTTTGAGCCCACCGCAGGATCTTCTCCACCGACTCCACTGATGTCTGCTGTCGTTAAAAAACACTTGATTTAAGCATTTATTACGTCATATTTCCTCATGCTGAAAACGGCGGAAAGTCCTGAGTAGCTCTGAAACAGTTGTTTTCTTTTCTTGGTATTGTTTTTCACCTGAGATGTTGCTGCAGTACAGTGTTCATGGTTTTGCACTGGTCCAGACCATAGCGGAGAGGATTCATGGTCCGAAACAAGCAGATCAACAACTTGCAATGCTAAAAAAGCCTTCACCCTCTAACTTTGACCGACTAGAGCAGAGAAAAAGGTCCAAACCAAACGGTTACTCCCCCTCTGCTGCTGTGACCTAAAGTGCTGATGGATTTTAATACTTTTGTCAACTATTTTTAGGATTATTTGTTCATTGGTTTTGTTTGTATGGCTGGATGTGTTTCTGCTGTTCCTGGACACGAGAATTTTTCCTACAGAGATCAATAAAGTATCTATCTATCTATTTCTTTTGCAGTGTTGTTAGATATTGAATAAGGCCAACCAGTGTGTGTTTAACGAATACCAATTAACAGGTAACCATAAATTATACAGTAATTACCACTTAGTTAGCTGTAAATTAGTGAGGGATAATGTAAACTCACACTTAAGTTAAGCACTTTAATGATCTTGAATTGAATCAGTTTCAGTTGATCGATTTCATTGTTTCTTGTCCTTTTTTAGCCTTTTTTGTTTTATGTTGTTGTCTGGTGCACACTGAGGACTCTTGCACTTGTATTCCAATCTGGTTTTACTGCAAATGTCAAATGAAGTGAATCTGAATCTCTCTCTGCTGGTACGAACGGCTGTGTGACTGGTGCCTGGACTCACTGGATGTACCGGTGCAGCTCCTGCTTGCTGCAGCGGGACCAGTGGTAGCGGTGGAAGGCGGCCTGCACCAGGGGAGCCATGATGCTGCCCATGGTCGTCTCGTCTGCACAGCGGTTGCCCTGACCATCGTGCTCCATGCCCAACCTGCACACAGCCACAAGCAACATACCGTCAGGCAGGGATTTGATCATGGTCTCCCTGGGCTCACTCTGGTCTATAGTATATCTCTCTGGTGTTATTCTGGTCTCTCTCTGGTCTCTCTCTGGTCTGTCTTAGGTTTTTGGTTTCTTCCTGGTTGAATTCTTGTCTCTTTAGTCTCCTTCTGGTCCCTCTCAATTCTCTCTCTCTCTCTGGTCTCTTTCTCTCAGTGGTCTATCTCTCTCTAGTTTCTCTCTAATCTCTTTGTCTCTGATCCCTTTATGATTTCTCTCTCTCCCTGGTCTCTCTGGACTCTCTCTTGTCTCTCTTTTTGACCTCTCGGTTTTCTGTCAATAGAACAAGTCTCTTTGTTCTTGCTGTTGCTCTCCTCTATAAAGTTTAAGCCATATCTAACACAGAATTCTTCAGTTTTTGTCAACAATCTTTGGCTTGTTTGGTGTTAATCCTGAAATTCAGCATTATATAAACATTTCTGAGGCAAAGTGGTGAATGGAGGCAGCAGATGGTGAACATATATCAGGTTCTTTTTGCAGTTGTATCTCGCTATAATGAAGCTGTACAAATCTTTAAAAACAGTCGGTTCAGTTTTTTTTTTGAATAGAAATAATTGCTTTGGAATAATTAACCTGGTACAACTTCAAGCTACAGCTGCTGGTGAATCAATTTTCTATTCATCTAAGTATAATTTCTTCAATAACCATCTTTGTAGTTAAAAGGGTTACAGAGTATGACAAATTCACAGCAATTAAAAACCCCCAAACTGAACTGAGAGGAAAGAAAGAGACAGATGTGACATTAGATCCTGTCAAAAGGAAATGTCAAGTGGTTTTTGTCAAATGTCAAAAGGTGGAGTTCTGTGTGACGCATTTTACAGAGACGGGGTCAAATATCTCACATTTCTGACGTCAGGCTCTGCTCAGTCCTGGATCTACAGCCTCAGTCCTGGATCTACAGCCTGAGTCCTGGATCTACAGCCTCAGTCCTGGATCTACAGCCTCAGTCCTGGATCTACTATTTTTTTTTGTATGCACATTATAAATTGTATTTTGTCTGTTTTTACCTGTTTAAACTGTGAAGCGCTTTGTGGCCTTGGTCTGTGAAAGGCGCTGTATAAATAAAGCTTACTTACTTACTTACTTACTTACAGCCTAAGTCCTGGATCTACAGCCTCAGTCCTGGATCTACAGCCTCAGTTCTGGATCTACAGTCTCAGTCCTGGATCTACAGCCTCAGTCCTGGATCTACAGCCTGAGTCCTGGATCTACAGCTTGTCCATTCATTGGAGCCATGGGGATAAAGAGCAAGGGACGAAATTTGGATAATAATTAGGGCTGTCAAACGATTAAAAATTTTTAGTTGATTAATCGCACAGAAATGATGAGTTAACTCACGATTAATCGCATTTTTAACATTCTATTTCAAATCCCCTCCAATTGAAGTTAAATGAGATTATCAAATATAATGACACATTGTCATTCATACCAAATGTACTTAAATCTGTTAGATTTGCTCACAACCCTTTGCTTTTGGGCACAACCAAAATGAGCTGTTAATGAAAGGGGGACATTTACATACCCCAGCTTTAATTCAGCGTTTCAGTTTAGTTTAGTTTCAGGAGGAGACACAGACACTTTAGCGGTGTATTTGCGTGGATAGGTTACGCACAGGTTGCAAAGACACGAACACAACATGCAGACAATAGTTCTGTGGCGTGTTTGGTCTTATATGACCAAGCGACGCCATTCATTCACAGCCGTCACAGTTGTTGTTAGCGGCTCACAGCCAGAGCGGCCGCAGAGGAGGCGGACTTTAGTTCACCGCAAACAACAGCCCCACGGTCACACGCGTATTCTTTTAAAACATGAGTTCCCAGAGGGCCTACCTGCTCTGATGCCATCTCACACGCAGCATTCTGAGTGATATTATGGATAAATGGGCGGGTCATTCGGACATGCGTTAGTTTTTTTTTAACGCGTGAATGAAAAATGTAATTGACGTGAGTTAACGTGATAATTTTAACAGCCCTAATAATAATACATTTAAGATACAAAGAGAAGCCAGTTTTATTCTAATTTATGAGTTTATGAGTATTTTTCAGTGTATTATGTCATTATACTCAGACGTACACGTGGCCGGTCTCGTGCGCCACCACGAAGGCCGAGGAGAATCCGTCCTCGTGGTTCAGGGTGCAGCTCTTGAGCGGGTGGCACATCCCCGTCACCGGAGCGTATCCTGCGGAACACAACGCAAACAGGAACAACACTGATAATGAACACCAGGAGAGAGAGAAACTGTAACACTTTAGATTAGCCCTCACTAATTAACAGCTAATTCAGTGTTAATTAGTGTATACTAACTCTAACTCCAAGCCTAGCCTTAACCATAACCCACATGGAAAGGGTCAGGTACTGTAGTAGTTGAATGTAGAATAAGGACTAATAAGGGATTCATAAATACCCATTAGGAGCTACTTAACCCTAAATATACACTAAATAGCACTTAATTAGCTGTTAATTAGTGAGGGCTAAACTGAAGCGTGACCAAATAAGCACTGAGGACTAGGACAAACGTTAGCATGAGTTCAACATGAGCTGAACATGGACTTATGGTTGAAAGTTTATACAGGATGGATTTGATGGAAACACATGATGGGATGGATCTGATAAAAAGCTCTGTATCAAACGCAGTCATACAGAATTTTGTGGGAAAGTGGCCTTGGACCCCGAGTTGAGAAACACAGGGTTGATAAAGCTATACATACAGTACATACACAGTTCTACAGTATTGAAAACTTTTCCTCTTTCTCGAGGCCTTTGAAACTGTGTGTTTTAAAGGCACAACATGTTTTAATATAGTTAACCCAAAGAAATCCGTACCGTAGATTCCGGACTATTAGCTGTGGCTTTTTTCCCGCACTTTGTCTTATACTAAGCTATGGCTTAATTTTGTTTTTACCTAAAAGAAAAGCATGTGATAATGTGTGCATTACATTGCATACAAAGGTATGATAATTAAAAGTCACAGGCACTGTTGAAAAATAAAGCATTTGTAAAATGTATTTGTTTGTTTCCGAGAGGATTAAATAAAGTTTAAAAGTTCTCACTTATAATATCTTCGTGTAAATATACGGGTTATTTGTCTGTTATATTGGTATATGTAAAAATATGTATTGTGCAGGTTAGAAAAAAATAAAAAAATAAAGAGTTCATATAGTAATTAATTGTTTTTTGGTTCTCTGTAAAGACATGGAAGTGAAAAGAGTATTTGTAGATATTGCTCCTTCTTTTTGCTTCACATTGGAGGATTAAGAACAGTCAGTGACTCACTGAAATATTTGAGCATTTAAAAAAAAACACACATAATGTGTAATCTGGTGTGACCTCTACAAGTACAAAATTCAATGTTGTTATAAAAATCAGAGCCTGCGGTTTATAATCAGTTGCAGCTTAGTGAATGGAAAAGTGTTGCGTGGTTGATAGAGAACGGATGGATGCACTTTCTTATTGTATGTTGTAGTTTATTTCTCTGTAACCAAGGACTGCAGATGGAAACGAACTATCTGAAATTGTGAAATTTTAAATAAATCAAACTAACTATCTGGCTACAGTCTGGTGCAGAACAGTCCTGACTCTCCGAGCTTAATCTCTCTGTCGCTTCAATAAAGATTCAAAAACCTCACCAGACGCACTTTCCCACAACATTCAAAATCGGTGACTTGTGCGTGACTAAAAACACAGTAACTTTTGAATATTCTGTGGTTAGTTATGATTTGAACGCCTTGTAATCGTATCTTGTTCTGTTCGTCACTTTGAGTTGCCTTGTGTATGAACTGTGCTATACCAATAAACTTGCCTTCTTCTCTAAGTAACTCTAGTAACTCCAGCCCACGCTTTAAAACATTGCATCGGCTCAAAACGTCACAGAAGCAAAAGCACAAACATCAAACAGATCTCGACCAGAGCTGTGCAGCGATTTCCAGCGCATTTCTCATTCTCTTGTTTTTAGTTTTTTCAAGTTGGATTTTGGTTGCAGCAGATCGTAATGCGTCGTGGTTCATGCTGGCGGACATTAGAAGACTTTTTGGCATGCAGGTGAAAGCAGAGGATGCAGCAGACAGAGTGAATGTGATGTTACGTGATTGGTTTGGATGATGATGATGATGATGATGATGAAAGAGCACGGAAGCCATACGCGATGTTACAGCAACCACAGAGACTTATGTACAGTCTGACAGTAAAACTAACAACAAAACAAATGCTATTGTGTCCTTTTGAAGCTTTACCATTGAAAAAAAACAGGTTTGGAGTGGTCTTGAGCTGCTTTCTTTCTCTAAATCTTCCTATTTTGACCCCTAAATTCTCACCTGGGAGCCTCCGTCCTGGGTCTACAGCCTCAGTCCTGGGTCTACAGCCTCAGTCCTGGGTCTACAGCCTCAGTCCTGGGTCTACAGCCTCAGCCCTGGGTCTACAGCCTCAGTCCTGGGTCTACAGCCTCAGTCCTGGGTCTACAGCCTCAGTCCTGGATCTATAGCCTTAGTCCTGGATCTACAGCCTCAGTCCTGGATCTATAGCCTCAGTCTTGGGTCTACAGCCTCAGTCCTGGATCTACAACCTCATTCCTGGATCTACAGCCTCAGTCCTAGGTCTACAGCGTCAGTCCTGGGTCTACAGCCTCAGTCCTGGATCTACAGCCTCAGTTCTGGACCAATGCCTCCTGTGTTTGTTATGATTTAATTTCCTGTGTTCGAACTGTTTGATTCTCTGATCTGGTGGTGAATCGACCAACAGATCGATTTAGGGACTATACAAAAATACTTTGAATTTGGAATTTCAGTCCCTGTACTTTGGCTGTGACCGGAGAACACCTTGTCTACTATCACCTTATCTAGAATAACCAAACAAAACAGACCACCTAAAGGCCCATATGTTAATCCTCACTCATTTGATTAGAAAAAAGCTTTCCTATGAAGCTGTAACAGACTTTAAACCATGCGTTGAACACAGGGGAAGTTCGATATATCCTCAGAACAAACTTTACAGGCAGCAAAACGGCAGCCAAGCTAAAAGCACATCGTATTAACCACTTCACACACGGCTGTATCCATCTGCTGAATCTAAAAACCACAAGTTCTTATAACTATAACGCATCTTCTTTCAAATCTGTTCTGGTTTCTCTGACTTGAAATAAAAAGTCCTTTCCTGGAAGAACAGCAGATGTGACAAACAGAGAGGTACAGACTTGGCAGCTATTATGAAACAGCTGTCGCAATAGTTTTTACAGTGTGATATACAACTGCTGGTCTCTCTTCTGTCACTCTCTAGTACTCTCTGGTCTCTCCCTAGTCTCTCTCTGGTCTTTCTCTTGTCTCTCTCTCTCTATGGTCTCTCTCTAGTCTCTCTCTGGTCTCTCTCTCTAGTCTCTCTCTAGTCTCTCTCTGGTCTCTCTCTCTAGTCTCTCTCTTGTCTCTCTCTGGTTTCTCTTTGGTATCTCCCGCTGGTCTCTCTCTCTGGTCAATCGCCGGTATCTCTCTCTGGTATCTCTCTAGTCTCTCTCTGGTCTCTCTTTGGTATCTCTCTCTGGTCTCTCTCTCTGGTATCTCTCTAGTCTCTCTCTGGACTCTGAACCCTAACCCTCTCAGACAAGCAGGCGTTTACATGTAATTTTTAATTCTGGCTACTCCTTTGAGCTCTATGTAGCCTTTCAACAAACCTTGTCCTTTCATTTTCGAATAAACTGTATTTACTGAGCACAGACAAACTATCTGAACTGAACTGACGAGCGAACAAGATTTCAACATGGCTAAAAATCTCAAAACAGCGATTTCTTCTTCTGTTTCATCTGTGCAGGTACTTTTCCCTGTGTCTGTCCTAAAGTCTAAATCCGGGCAGAGAATGTGGCGCCTGAGTTCAAGTTTGTGGGCAGCGTGTGAAGTCGGAGCCTCCTCTGATGGGACTCTCTCTGTTATGGAGACAGAGGCGCTGCTATGGCAACGCTCAGGTGAGGAGGCCGCAGCACGACCCTCCTCCTCCACAGTCCACAGCTCTCAGGTCACAGCGATGTTTGTCGAAGGCAGAGGCCGTTTGAGAGCACGTACCAGGAGCATGTACCAGGAGCATGTACCAGGAAGGTCCAGCAGAATGTTACTTTTTTTAAAGCAGCAACAAAGGGACGAGTATCTGTTCATGTTTCATACAGTTGTGCTTCAGAGAGATATCTACCATCATACACCAGATGGATGGTCTCTCTCTGGTCTCTCTCGGGTCTCTCTCTCTCTCTGGTCTTTCTCTCTCTGGTCTCTCTCTGGTCTCTCTCTGGGTTCTCTCTCGAGTCTCTCTTTCTCTCTGGTCTTTCTCTCTCTGGTCTCTCTCTCTGATCTCTCTCACTGGTCTCTCTCTGGTCTCTCTCACTGGTCTCTCTCTCTCTCTGGTCTCTCTCTTTGTCAACATGTGCATATTATACAATAAATAAAATTATACAAAAATGCAATAATAATAATTTAGCCGTTGAACAAAAAAGTTTGTTCATAGCAGAAAGTTATCAACACAGTCCACACCTCTTTGAATGTCACATCTGCTTCTAAAACGCTTCTAAAAACGTGAAATAAGTTCCAACAGCAAAGTCACATATTTTCTACCCACCTGCGTCCATTCAAAACCGTTCTGTTTTCACGATACATGCCAAAAAAACCTCCAGATCGGCCTCAGAGACTTGGCGAGGCTTTAGAGAGAATCAGATACTTTCAGTCTGCTGTCCTCTCCGAGTCAGAAGTCTCTATCTGAGGTTTGTGTTGAAATCCAGGCAGATTCTCAAACAGGGAAACCTTTCGCATCAATGAGTTCAAGTCATGTGACCCATCTGTCGCTGTCAGCCATTTTGAGGACCGTGTAGACAATAACCTACTTTAGTATGTGTACAAGGTATTTATCTGTCTTTCACTTTTCTGTCTGAAAACAATGATCTATAAATGTGACAGAGGCTAAAACATACAGCATGATAAAACGAACTTACTCCCAATATTGTTGTTGTTGTGAAATTCAAGGGATAGTTCTGCTGCTTATTGCGCCCAATTTGGCTCCCAATCTAAGTGTTCTACCATTTCTGCCTTATAAAAGTACTTATTTTGAACCTACATACAAGAAAAAAAGAACAACTCTGCTTTTTGGGTCCTCAAAATGGCTGAAACTAATGGAAGGCAACATCACTTCAACCCCATATCTTGTAAAAATTGGTGAAATCTTCTGATTAACTTCAAAACTCGACACCAGGAAGCAGAAAGAGCCTTCTAACTCAATGGGAGGACAGTTTTTGTTTTGTATATATCGCCTTCTTACCTGGGCCAAGCCTTTTTTTGCTGCTGTGTGAATGAAAGGCAGTCTGCACAGATCCGGATCGAGGGCGATACGTTACCTTGCATACCTGCGGGACCGAAATCTTGCCTGGTGAGAAAGATGGCGTGGTCGTGGTACTCGGCGTGCTCCGGATCTCGCCTCTGCTGCGTGTTGGCCCAACGGCAGACCTGCTCCAGAGAGCGAGACGGGTTCCCACGCTCGATCAGACTGATGGACTGCGGACAGGAGAGGGAGACAAGCACAAATATCACATATCATGCAAACAATGATAACACATGAGTTCTGAAACTGCTAGAACTCCCAGAGCCGTCATTTTTAGGGCTCCTATTCAAAGTTTTAAACCGATGCAATTCTGAGAAATTCCCCCAAAAATATTGAGTTTATTAACCCCCTGGCACCCTCGGTTATACATAGGCAACATAAAGTTCAAAAGTTATGGCAAAAGAAGTATGACTCTTTGATTTAATGCAATAACTAATGTATGTAGCCAAGAACCCAAAGAAGCTAATATGCTACATAGCCCAATTTGGTCGTTGAACGCTGCTTCCCAAAAAATACAGAATTTTCTTCAAAATGTTTATATCTGGGTTCTACCTTTAATGGGTTTTTACATTTCATCACCTTTACTAAGTGTTAAAAATGGTGAATTTAACTGCAAAAACAGTTTGTTGAAAGGCTAATCCTAACAACCAAATGCTAAATGGTACAAATAAATTGTGTGTTGTTTTGGAGTTGTCTCGAAGGGCAACAAAGTTGTTGATTAACCAACAACAGATAAGAGAAATGTCCATAAATGTTGATAAAGTGCTTCTTTATTATGCTGAAGTCAGAGATTTTATTTTATTTTATTTAAGGATTTAATTATTGTTTATTTATCTTGTGCTGTGTGCTGCTCACCCCTACTGTTCTGTAACTGTAATTTCCAGACTCTGGGACAAATAAAGATAAGATAAACTTTAAAGATGTACATGTCTCATTTGGCATAAATAGAATCACTCGGGATGTGCAAAAAGAGGGTTAAAAAGTGAAAAGATTGTAAGGTATTTTACGTAGAATTAAATGACTATAGTAAGGATCTCTTAATCTAAATTTCAATCCAACATGTATTTCCATTGTACCTACAGATTAGCGCCAATCAAAAAGAGAAGTGAATACTATGTGTGTGTTTCTCACCTGCCTGTAGCCCACCATGATCATCCGCACCAGCACGATATTGATGTTGGCTCCCAGGGACTCGTCATGGTAAATCTCATCCACCTGAAAACACAGAAAAATGCATGTAATTCACCGCCTCCGAGGTTGAAAGACACGAGAGTTCTGAGGACAGAAGCACAGCTCGAGGTCAGGGTAAGGGTCTGTGACTGTTGTGTAGTGAAAGGTCTCAGTGTATTGTGTTGTCAGTAGGCAGAGGCGGTTGTCAGTAGACAGAGGCGGTTTGAACTTTTGCAATAAGCCTTCAAAAATATTATATTTACATACACTACCGTTCAAAAGTTTGGGGTCACCCAAGTGTTTTCCATGAAAAGTCACACTTATTCACCACCTTATGTTGTGAAATGAATAGAAAATTGAGTCAAGACATTGACAAGGTTAGAAATAATGATTTGTATTTGAAATAAGATTTGTTTTACATCCAACTTTGCTTTTGTCAAAGAATCCTCCATTTGCAGCAATTACAACATTGCACCAAAAACCAGACATTTGCAGCTAGAATAGTCATTTACCACATAAGCAATGTATAGAGTGTATTTCTTTACAGTTAAGACTAGTTTAAAGTTATCTACAGTGCTTTTCCTTCAAAAATAAGGACATTTCAATGTGACCCCAAACTTTTGAACAGTAGTGTATGTGTATAACAAGAAGGCAGGCATAAGGCTTTATGTTCCGCGCTGTAGAAGCTGGATTTCAAAAGCATCACCCACGGATCTTGCAGCAAAGCGAGACAATTGTGTAAAAACAGGGTCAGAAAAGTCCTGTTCTCTACTCTACTGAGTCTGAAAAAGCAAGAGCGAGTCGGAGGTGGAAGTATAAAGGGGGTCTTCTTTTATAAATCTTTGTCACATTATGAAGGTGTTTTGACATTTTCTGGTACATTTTTAAGATTTAAGATATATCCACGCAGTTTTTGGTCAAAATACATCAAATATACTTAAATTATGCCTGTGTTAATAGTCAGAACATTTGTAGTAAAAATCAAAAGAAGGATTCTGGACATTGTCTCACGTCTGACCACACCAGCCAGGTGTGGTCAGACGTCCATATGTATCCTGCTTCAGCTTGCAGAGTGTAAACATTTGCATTCAATCAAAATTGGTTACAAAACAGGTAAGAACCAATGAGCACAGGCCATTAATGTGAAAGGGCAGACATCTTGGAGAGACCAGAGGCAGAGATCTTGGAGTGACCAGGAGCAAACATCTTGGAGAGACCCAGGGCAGACTTTTTGGAGTGACCAGGGGCAGACATCTTGGAAAGACCGGGGGCAGATATCTTGGAAAGACCGGGGCAGATATCTTGGAGTGGGCCAGACAGGTCTGGGACAGACATTTTAGAGAGACCTGGGACAGAAATCAATATGATTTCAATATGAATATGAACAGTGCAAAGTCAGGGCTCATGGACAATAGTTATTCCTAAAATATGGGAATAACTACGTCCATCATGAAGGGGTACTGAAGCCAAGACACTATAGTGTTGCATCCTCTGGTTGGACTTGGTTCAGTTTATTGTCTATATAAATCTGTTTGTGAGCCTCAAACCAAGCATTCCCACTAGAGGCCAGGGCTTCCTAATGCACATCCTCTGTGTACTGTGGGATATTGCATTCTTGTCATTATTTGCGCAGCGTTGGGCCCATAAACACGGCTTTGACAGAGCGGTCTTCACAAGGCGGTTTCCTGTGCGCCACCCAGGTCAGATAAATAAAGTAGTTTTTGAGAGCCAGTGATTTGGCGCTGGTTTTTGAGGCTCTAGTCTCACAGGTGACACGAGGATTGTGCGAAAAAGCTGGTTCAGAGGGAAAGAAGCAGAAGATGTAGTTTAAAGGTCACAAGGTCCTCTTCATGTTTCTCAGTCCATCTCAAGCACATAATCTATTTGATTGATACACCATACAACACTCAAAACACATAGCATGAAAGCTAACTGTTCAGCTTTCGCTGGAACAACGGCAATCTGTCACACAGAGCCCTACTGTATGTCCTCCAGAATCAGACCCTAATTATCTGGTTAACAGTGGTATACGGAGAGTTAGAAGCATTGGACTCACAGATCTATGTTCCTCGATAGCGTCTTTTATTGTGGGACTAACACCATGTTTTATTCAGCTTTTGAAGTCCAGGTAAGTGTTTTTCGCAGAAATACAGATTCATCTCGGATTTCAGAAGAAGATCCCTATGAATAGGGTGCTGCGTTTCAGCAGGAATGAGAATTTACACAGAGCCTTTCAGTCCTGCAGTATCAAGCAGCAACCCTCCTCCTCCCCGTCCACACCTCTTCAGTGGAGAATTGCCAGGTTATAAACGCTTTCTTCACCACCAGAGTTTAGGCCCGGCGGGTTCATAAACTCATGATCTCTAATCATCTTTCTACATACGACATGCAATATTTCTGCTGGGGACTAATAACGCTAAATAAAAAAAGCACATTTCAGGTATCAAAAACAACAAATATATTAGTACCACATTCTGCGTCTGCTGGCTGTAATCGTCTAATCACGTAGCTGCAATACATTCTCGCAAACATGCAAATCATTCTAATTTTATTGCAATCTTCTACATTTCTGTGTGTTTGTGGCCAGAACACTATACATCGCAGTTATATTAAAGAGGTCTTGCTTTTGCTTCTCAGTCTTTTCCTGTGGGCTCCAGAAGTCAAGGATTAGTCACCAGGCAACGTTCTTCACGGAGCCAGTCATCTCCGCTCCCGCCGCGTCCACAGCAGTCACTGGACTACAAACATTTCCTTTCATATGGTGCAATAAAAACAATGTTATTTTTCAGAATAAAAAAAAGACACAAGCTCAAGCGGTGATGGTTTCTGTCTTTTACTGTTCTGTGTTTTGAGTCTTATATGTATTTTCAACTTCACAAAAATAACAAAAATGGACCACGACCTGGGCACGAAAATACACCGCTGAAGCTGAACAATGGAGCCTCAGGGAGTGTCCGTGTCTCTTCCTGAAACGCCACTAAACTCGCTAAATTAAAGCTGGGGTAAATGTTCCCGTTCATTAACAGCTCATGTTGGTTGTGCCCAAAAGTAAAAGGTTGTGAGCAAATCAAACAGATTGAAGTACACTTGGTATAAATGACAATGTGTCATTACATGTGAAAATCTAATTTAACTTAAAATGGAGTGGATTTGAAATAGAATGTAAAAAAATGCGATGTTAACTCACCATTACTATGTGATTAATCAACATCAAAAATGTAATCGTTTGACAGCCCTAGTATGAATACAAACTATAGCTTATGGTGCTATTGCGAGAGATTTGAACATAAACTTAACTATCATGTGCCACAACTTTGTCTCCAGAAAACTCTAGATCAGGGGTGTCAAACTTATTTTGGTTGAGGGCCGAATAAAAAAAGAAAAAGCTGGTCAGGGGCCAAAAAAATAAGTGGGTTTCATTTATTACATTTTTTTGGAATATGAAGGTATCTAAATAAATGCCTTGTTTCACATTTGTTAGATTGGATATTCTATTCTGATTAGAATTAGTTCAGTTTCTGTGGACTGAACCAAAACTGGACCAAATATTGAAGGTATATAGGAAGATTTTATACTTTTGAGTGGATCATCAAGACTATTGCTCCTCCCAATTGTCAATGATTCTGGTGATTCATGCTCGTCAAATAAGACCAGAGAGAGAAAAAGGGGAGAAGGCGGTTCTTTCCTAAGAAAATTGGGAAATCCTTTATTTCCATGGGATTAATTTAAATGTTATGGTTGTTTTCTTCGTAATGGATAACATGCCATTGTCGCCTAATACCATTTATGCTGCTCTTTCATATAATAATTCAAAATTATCTCAAGGGCCACTGGAAATGGTCTCGCGGGCCGAATCTGGCCCCCGGGCCTTGACTTTGACACCTGTGCTCTAGATAATAGAGTCTGTCCTTTGTACTAATGTACTATTGTCTGCTTCTGCTTCAGCCTCTTCTACCAGAAACAACACTTTTAGGCAAATACAAGTTGAGCTGCTGTGTTCTCCTGCTGATCTCACGGTGCAGAGGATAACAGTGCAACAGCCTCCTCTACGGTCTCTCTTCCACTCATCTCCAAAAACTACACCTGCCGCCCACCTGCTCACCCACACCCGCTCCAGAGACCACATCACCCCTGTCCTCAAACAACTCCACTCCCTGTTCCTAACCTAGAAGTCCCTCCATAACCTGGCCCTTTCTTACCTCACTGACCTCCTCCATCATCACTGTCCCTCCCGCCGCCTCAGATCCACAGACTACAACGTCCTCACTCCCCACAGGACTAAACACCAAACCTTCGCCGAACCTTCGCCGAGCCTTCGCCGCAGCTGCCCCCACTCTCTGGAACTCCCACAACCATCAGAAACTCTGACTCACTACAGAACTTTAAATCACTTCTCAAAACCCACCTGTTTCACCTTGCCTTTCCTTCATTTGTTTACTTTGTATGTTTTGTAAAGTGTCTTTTGAGTGTCCAAAAAGCACTATATAAGTTTGATGTATTATTATTGTTTAAAACAAAACATTATTTAATGTGCTATAATAAAAATGTGCTATATAAATAAACTTGACCTTGACCTTGACCTTGACCTTAATCTTGGGTAATTTTGGTCTGGATGAACGCTGGGATGAGAGAGATAAGGACAAAGTCTCATTATAAATTGTTTCTGTTCGAGCCGAGACCAGGACTTTAAATGCACTTTAAATTCATCGTCTTCATTAAATCATTATTATGTATTCCGGCGTTTTGGGCCCTTCCTTCATTTCACCTCGTGACAGAATGTGAGATAAAACAACTGGAAAACGTGACAATTTTCAATATACCATGAGCTTTTGCACATTTTCTCATGTTTACGACCGTCAACAACATATAGATCGTCATATTTCATAGTAAAGTAAAGTATGTAACCAGTATAGCTAAGCATTTTCATGAAAAAAATACAAAAAACCTAAAAACTGCTCCCACCATGGGAGGAATAAAGGTCCTCTTGTCTTCTACTAAGAAAGAACATCATCCGATCACCTCCTTCCCACAGATAAAGCACTAACTGTGGTAGTGGAGCGGCTTCATCTGTATTTTCCATTAGCACCAGATGCATTAGTCACTTTTCTACAAAGAGCTGAAAATATCCTTGAAACATTAGTTTTACATTTAGAAGAACATCTGGAATAAATGAATCAAACTTCTATCTCTCATTCTTAATGTTTGATCTGTGTCGTGTGGCGAGATGTGGGCGGAGCCAAAAAGCAGATTTAAAGTAGCAGTATGTAATATTTGCATGTCTAGTCATCATTAAATGGCCCCAATATTTCAAAAGGCGTTATTAAATCATGCTCTTTTAAAATACATCTTTAACTGATAACAGTAGTTCAGCTATTAGATATTTGAATATCAAAATTAGTTTTACGACCTGCAAAAGTTATTGTTTTCATTTCGATGTCCCACCCTCCGCTGTTTCACCAATCAGGAAGTCCGTGATCAGTATTGCCAGAACTCTACGCGGCTAATCTCAGTGGTAAAATAACATGTGGCCGCAGAACTAAAAGAGGTCTTGTTATAATTCTCAAATCATTAATGACAAAACAAAGAATAAAACGACGGGAATAAATATCGGGACGCCTTTGAAAAATTGAGACGGCGGATAAAAGTTTTCGTGTGATGCAAAACCGATGATCCGGGTCCGGGTTCAAGTCTGGGTAGGGTCAACTTGTGTTTAATCGCATAATATTACATTTATGACAGATTGCTCAAAATCAGGGAAAAGACAATAATCAAGATGTTTTTTGCAGATTATAGCTTAATTGTAAAAAGAATCATTTGAGACCACATGTACCCAATTAAAATAATGTTAGTCTCTTTTTGATGTGGGACTTATACATGTTTGTCTAAAAAATAGTGAATAAATAAAATTGAAGGGTATATCCTCTGGAGCAAACCCTGATGTTGATACGCAGAAGAAATCCATCCATTCTTCCCACTCCTATTTTGGACATCAATTGCTTATTTGTTTTGCATAATCAATGTATAATTAAATTGCTTTTATTTTGTTTTTCTCATCTCAAATGTTCAAAAAAAAAAGAAATAAAAAAACATTTATTCAAAACATTTAATCAACATTAGCATCATGGCAATGTGAATGCAGACAAACAAAGAACTGATAAAATAATTTCCTGTGTTTGCTGCTGGATTTGGTGTGTATCTGGCAACCTGAGTCAGGGAGAGTGGGAGAGGACTACAACATATTGGCTGTGACTGCAGTACCACTTTTGGCCAGATTTTTACATACTGCTCCTTTAATGATGATGAATAAATAAAAGTCCAAGGTAAAAAAAAGAATCTAAATGAAAGGAACACAGGAACCAGGCAAAGACAAAGGACCCGCAACAATAGCAGAGGAGCAATGCACTGTGGCTATTTAAGCTTTTAATCCCATTTGTGTTTTAAATGATTTGAAGTTTTTAATTACTTGTTTTATTTTATATGAATTTAACATTTCTTCTGATCTTATTGTTTGTTTGTAATCATAGTTTTTAATATTCATGATTTCTGCCTGATGTGATTTGGGTTGTGAGGCGCTTTGTGTAGGAAAGGCGCTCTACAAATAAAAGTCTATTGATCGATTGATACAGACACATGAGGGCGGGGCAAACAATCAACACGGGAACAAGACAGGAAGTCGAACTAAAACAAAAAATGTACAAAAATGAAATCCACACCATGACATTATGTTCACTCCTTGAAGAAAGCAGTATATATATTTTTTCATATATAAAAAACACTAACAACAGTTTACCAAACGCCATTTACATCGCTTTCAAATCTGCCTGAGTTCTGCCGGGTCCTCTGCACCAGCCAGGATCGGGAGTCCAGGGTACCGTCGGTGCTGGGGTGGCCATCGCTGACCCTTGTAACCCTCACAATGGCCACCTTGTTCAGGTCAGGGGCGCCAGGTTTTTACAGCAGGAACACCTCTGCTCCACATCTGCACTTCTCATTCACAAAACCAAAACAGTCTCGCCCCCTCGACAGCTGGATTTGCCATTAGCTGTAGTGGAATGTAACCAGAGACACTTTTGCATAACTTTACTGGAAAGAATGTCGCAGCAGGTCATTGGTTACAGCCTCATTACGGCAGAAGTGTCAATTTTAGCATTAGCAGAACTGTGAGGACAGTGATGCTAACAAAGGTCACAGCTATTGTGGATGACATTTGGGGATGAAAGGCTAAAACGATTCAAGCTAGTTCCGGCTGTCTTCCATTGTAACCTCATCCAGTCCCTACTGCGAAGAAGACTGTGTGGATAACTGTATCTACAGCCTCAGTTCTGGATCTACCGCCTCAGTCCTGGATCTATAGCCTCAGTCCTGGATCTATAGCCTCAGTCCTGTATCTACAGCTTCTGTCTTGGATCTACAGCCTCAGTTCTGGATCTACAGCCTCAGTCCTGGATCAACAGCCTCAGTCCTGGAAATACATATAATTTTATCTGGAGCTGTATCCATGACCAAAACACATGTGACAGGGCCCATTTTTCTCAATTTGCAGCTTTTGGACACTATTTCCAGCACTGCTCGTTGCCATGGCAGCCCCCCTCAGACCCCATAGTTAACCTGTGTGATTGTCTGGGTCTATCGGAGACTGCCGCCGCCCTGCCCAGCGCCCGACCGCCTCTGACTCTGGGGGATTTGTGGAGGACAAGCCGATTATGGTGGAAGGAGGCGCTCGAGTCCGTAATCTCGGCTCAAAGAGAGATTTCTCTACGTTTGTGTGTGTAATCCAAGGAGAGACCAGGGCAGCCTGCATGGGAATATGGGCAGCTGTGTCGGAAGGTCCAGCATTCACACAGCTGCCATCACAGCAGCAAGGGTTTCTACACGCATTGCACATCCAGAGACAGTTTTGCCTGTTGGTCTTTACAAAAACACTCCAGCTCTGTCAGGTTAGATAGAGCGTATTTTCTTTGAATATTTTAGTAAACTTAAGAAAAGTTGTATTGACACTTTTGCAAGCCATTGTTCCAGCCAAGTTAATGGACAATGCAGATTTAGAGAGAGACCAGAGCGACACCAGAGAGAGACCAGAGAGAGACCAGAGAGAGACCAGAGCGACCAGAGAGAGACCAGAGAGAGACCAGAGCGAGACCAGAGAGAGACCAGAGAGAGACCAGAGAGAGACCAGAGCGAGACCAGAGAGAGACCAGAGCGAGACCAGTGAGAGGCCTAAGAGAGACCAGAGAGAGACCAGAGAAAGACCAGAGAGAGACCAGAGAGCAAGACCAAAGAGAGACCAGAGAGTGAGACCAGAGAGCAAGACCAAAGAGAGACCAGAGAGTGAGACCAGAGAGAGAGACCAGAGAGAGACCAAAGAGAGACCAGAGAGACCAGAGAGAGAGACCAGAGAGAGACCATAGAGAGACCAAAGAGAGACCAGTGAGAGAGCAGAGAAAGGGACCAGAGAGAGACCAAAGAGAGACCAGTGAGAGAGCAGAGAAAGGGACCAGAGAGAGACCAAAGAGAGACCAGAGAGACAGACCAGAGAGAGAGACTAGAGAGATACCAAAGAGAGACCAAAGAGAGACCAGAGAGACCAGAGAGACCAGAGAGACCAGAGAGAGACCAGTGAGAAAAACTAGAGGGAGATTTCTGGCCTGATTGGAAGAAATGATTCTTGCATTATATATTGTTTAAATCTATAAAACGTTGCACTCACAATGTTCATGAGCGTGAGGACGTAGTTTTGCACGTGCTCCTTTCCGTGGAAGCGAACCACCGAGTCGTCCACCGCCAGCAGCACCTCAATGTTGTAGTCCTCTCTCCTCGCGTGTCGCCGCTTCCGCTCCGACTCCGACAGCTTGTGCTCCACCAGGTCCAGTGCTCGCGGCAACTCGGCAATACCAAAGTCTGCCACTGGGGGAGGCAGAGAGAAGATAATAGAGTTAGTAGAGGCTTTATAGGGAGTAAGTAAGTAATGTTTATTTATATAGCGCACAAAGCTGTATACAATGTTTTCGGAGTGCTGATATACAGTGAGAGAGGCCAGAGTGAGAGACCAGAGAGAGATCAGAAAGAGAGACCAGAGTGCTCATAACAGCAGATCACAATAAAAAGCAGGTCTTTCTGGACTCTCGCTCTGGTCTCCCTCTTTGGTCTCTCTCTGGTGTCTCTGTGGTCCTTCTCTGTTCTCTCTCTGGCCTCTCTCTGATCTCTCTGTGGTCTCTCTCTGTTCTCTCTGTGGTCTCTCTGGTCTCTCTCTGGTCTCTGGTCTCTATGATCTCTCTCTCTATGGTTTCTCTCTGGTCTCTATCTGGTCTCTCACTCTATAGACCAGAAAGAAACCAGAGAAAGACCAGAGAGAGAGACCAGAGAGAGAGACCAGAGAGAGAGCAGAGAGAGAGCAGAGAGAGAGCAGAGAGAGACAATCTAGGTTTAGGTCTGGCGGTCCACAGTCACATTCCTGGAGTCCACATCTGCTCCAGTGACCCGCGATAATAAAAACACAGGATTACAGGGACAGAGCGTTCGCCGTCGCACGTCGCGGTCTCAAAATACAAGTTTTTATTCGCACCCATAAAATATGTTCTTTGGGTTTTGGTGCTGGACGTATTTCATGACATATTTTGATTGGAGAGAGAGAAGTTAGAACAGAGCGAAAGCTATAGAGTGTCCTGAAGTGTCTGCTCATGACAGAAGATCACAGTAACAAGTAGGTCTCTCTGGTCTCTCTCTGGTCTCTCTCTGGTCTCTCTCTGGTCTCTCTCTGGTCTCTCTCTGGTCTCTCTCTGGTCTCTCTCTTGTCTCTCTCTAGTCTCTTTCTTGGTCTCTCTCTGGTCTCTCTCTGGTCTCTCTTTGGTCTCTCTCAGGTCCCTCTGGTCTCTCTGGTTTCTTTCTGGTCTCTCTCTGGTCTTTATCCCTCTGGTCTCTCTCTAGTCTCTTTCTCTCTATTGTCTCTCTCAGGTCTCTCGTCTCTCTTGTCTCTCTCTAGTCTCGCTTGTCTCTCTGGTCTCGCTTGTCTCTCTCTAGTCTCTGGTCTCTCTTGTCTCTCTCTGGTCTCTCTGGTCTCTTATGTCTCTCTCTCTCTCTTTCTTGTCTCCCTCTCTGGTCTCTAGTTTCTCTCTCTGGTCTCTCTCTGGTCTCTCTCTCTCATCTGGTCTCTCACAACTGATCTTTCCACTCTAGTTTCAAATACATTTCCAGACCAAACCACCGCCTTCGTACGGACAGCACTGGATAGATAAAGTATAAAGTAGTCTCTGTGTGGACAGGACCATATTTGGGCAGTTTTAAAGGTAATTAAAGGTGGTAAAATCTCACCCTCGTTGTGTAGCTCCTCCCCCCTGTCCCTGTGGGCGGGGTCTCTCCTGATCGCAGACCTCCTGTAGACCACGTGGACCCGGCCTTTCTGCTCCACTCCCTGCTGGCCCTTCTCCAGAGGCTCGATGAAGAACTCCCCACTGTCCGTGCGGATCAGACCTGCCTGGACCCAAAAGAGGACCATGTGAGGCACCAGAATACAGAGGACCATGTGAGGCACCAGATTATATCTACTTTATTGTTATTACAGATGCAAAAAGTGATGGAAAAAATGTTATAAAAATGCTCAAATTTGGCAAACATTTTGGGGTTCCTGACTTTTAAGAGAGACCAGAGAGAGAGGGACCAGAAAGAGAGAGACCAGAGAGCGAGAGGACAGAGAGAGGGATAGAGAGAGAAAGAGAGAGAGACACTAGAGAGTGAGGACAAAGAGAGACCAGAGAGCGAGAGGACAGAGAGAGGTAGAGAGAGAGAGACACCAGAGAGCGAAAGGACAGAGAGAGGTAGAGAGAGAGAGACACCAGAGAGCAAGAGGACAGACAGAGGTAAAGAGAGACAGAGAGATAGAGACACCAGAGAGCGAGGACAGAGAGCGAGAGGACAGAGGTAAAGAGAGAGAGAGACGTCAGAGAGCGAGGACAGAGAGAGAGAGAGAGAGACATCAGAGAGTGAGAGGACAGACAAAGGTAAAGAGAGAGAGAGAGAGAGAGAGACACCAGAGAAAGACTACCACAAGTTTATCATCCATGTAGCGACAAGAATGACATTTTCAAACCATATTTTTCACAAAAACATCTTTATGATTGAAAGAGCAGCTCAAACAGCTCAAACTCTGACAGTAAGAGCTTCAGTCACCCAAACACAGCTCCACGGCTCGTTACGCTGTCCACATGCAAAAGTAGTGTCCCTCATATGACTTGTAAACAGCAGAAAACAGTGAGATCTAAAATACTGCCATCTTTGGACCTCTGCAAACAGACTAGACCGTGAGGCGGGTTAAACGCACCCAGCCAGCTCGTGTTGTTCAGTGTGGAAGGGTTTTTTTGGTAGAATTTCCTGTGTTTTTGCTCAGTGGGAATGAGGCTCTGGTCTGTATCAGCCACAGTGTGTGACATCACAGAGAGGAGAGCAGCTGTAGCTTTGGCTCTGCTCGTACGGCTCCAGACAGGTTTGAGACTTTCCTTTTGGACATAGCTCACGATAACACGGTATCAGCGCATTCTTGTCCTGTAGATACTCAACCATGTTCTCGGCAAATATGTAAAAAAGTGAATGAACTCGAAGACTTTAAAATATATACAAATAACTTTCAGTGCGTTTGGAGGTTATTAAAAACATATTTGAAAATAGAATTGGACATGTTTTAGATTATTATTATCATTACAAATTCTAATCTACTCAGCATTATTTGTGTAAAGCTTGGCCCTTAAAACTTTCCAGAGGGAGACCAGAGAGAGACCAGAGGGAGACCAGGAGACAAGTGAAAGACCAGAGAGACAAGAGAGAAAACAGACGAGAGACCAGAGAGACTAGGGACCAGAGAGACAAGAGAGAGAACAGACGAGAGACCAGAGGGAGACCGGAGAGACCAGAGAGAGACCAGAGAGAGACCAGAGAGAGACCAGAGAGAGACCAGAGAGAGACCAGAGAGAGACCAGAGAGAGACCAGAGAGAGACCAGAGAGAGATCAGAGAGAGACCAGAGAGAGATCTTTTTGGTTAAACCTTCAGTTACAGCACATTTCAAAGAACCGCCCTCTCCCAGAATCACGTCAAAAAAACACTGTAACTTTACCTTCTGCGGCCGGGCGCACGCTGGCCTCATTAAAACTGTTTACAGAACTTAATTTCGGGACGAGATCGCGTTCTCAAACCCCCTGCTCTCTCTGGATGTTTGTCAAGTCTCTGGGCCTAAATCTACGTCAGGCTGCGTTCCCTTTGACGTCACGTTCGAATGGCTGAAATTCCTGGTCCAGACCGTTATAATTAGGCCTCGCTGGTGCCCGTCGGAGCCCAGAGAAGTGCTTCCTCCTTTTCCTGTTTGGCGTGAAAATGGCTCGACACTGCATAAATCTTATGAGGGGAGCCCCAAGTTGTTCAGCGTGTTTTGTTTTTTACCAAACCTCAGCGGTCAGAGAGGAAGCCATCGCAACAGAACGAGGCTGCGACAAGAGAGAGCTGGGGTTTTATACGAGGAGAGAGCAACGTTCTAGATGTGTATACTGTAGGATACAACAGGCTCCGAACATCACAAACAACAACTAAAACCAGTGGATTTTATCTCGTTGGTATACTGCCCGACCAGTCTATTATCTCTCTCTGGTCTCTCTCTGTTCTTTCTCTTGTCTCTATGGTCTCTCTCTGGATTCTCTAGTCTCTCTCTGGTTAATCTCTGGTCTCTTTATGGTCTTTCTCTGGTCTCTCTGTGGTTTCTCCCTTGTCTCTCTCTGGTCTCTCCAGTCGCTCACTGGTTTCTCTGGTCTCTGTCGCTCACTGGTCTCTGTTTCTTTTTGGTCTCTCTTTCTATCTGTTCTCTCTCAATTTCTCTTTCTGGTCTTTCTCTTCTCTCTCCTCTCTCTGTGGTCTCTCTCTCATCTCTCTCTGGTCTCTCTCCTCTCTCTCTCTCTGTGGTCTCTCTCTCTCCTCTCTCTGTGGTCTCTCTCCTCTCTCTCTCTGGTCTCTCTCCTCTCTCTCTGTGGTCTCTCTCTCTCCTCTCTCTGTGGTCTCTCTCTCCTCTCTCTCTGTCTCTCTCCTCTCTCTCTGTCTCTCTCCTCTCTCTCTGTGGTCTCTCTCTCTCCTCTCTCTGTGGTCTCTCTCTCCTCTCTCTCTGGTCTCTCTCCTCTCTCTGTGGTCTCTCTCTCTTCTCTCTGTGGTCTCTCTCTCTCCTCTCTCTGTGGTCTCTCTCTCTTCTCTCTGTGGTCTCTCTCTCTCCTCTCTCTGTGGTCTCTCTCCTCTCTCTGTGGTCTCTCTCTCTTCTCTCTGTGGTCTCTCTCTCCTCTCTCTGTGGTCTCTCTCTCCTCTCTCTGTGGCCTCTCTCCTCTCTCTGTGGCCTCTCTCCTCTCTCTCCATGGTCTCTCTCTCCTCTCTCTTTGTGGTGGTTTATAATTTCATCTTTCGGACTCTTGCACTTCTGTCAAAGCTGAGTTTGTTCACACGTGGATCTGGAGTCAATTAGAGACAGAAGTAAACAGCTGTTCATAGAGACACATGTGTACAGAGACAAACAGAGACAGACACAGACAGACACAGACAGACAGAGACACAGACAGACAGAGATACAGACAGACACAGACAGAGACACAGACAGATAGAGACAGAGACACAGACAGAGACACAGACAGAGACACAGACAGAGACACGGACAGAGACACAGACAGAGACAAAGACAGAGACACAGACAGACACAGACAGATACAGACAGAGACAGACAGAGACAGACAGAGACACAGACAGAGACACAGACAGATACACAGACAGAGACACGGACAGAGACACAGACAGACACACAGACAGACACAGACAGACAGAGACAGGAATGTGCTCTTTACGTGTGATTGAAGCAAAAATATCAGGCAATGTGCATCTTCACTTCAGAATTTACAGCTAACAAGACCAGAAATCTCTGCAGACTTTGCATTAAAGTCCTTGAGTCACATTTATATTGAAATTATGTTGATGATAAATGACTCTGGGCTAATGGACAAGTCAGAAAGGCATGGTTTATTCAGAAAATCACTTGAAATGAGGAAGAATTGCAACTTTGCTTGAAAAAAAAGTATGGAAAGAGTTTGTTCATGGCTGATCTATACGTGGCCAAGAGACAAACACGAGGCCCAGGGGCTGAATGCGGCCCACTAGACTATTTCTGTGTTCCCTGACATTACTATCAACTTGCAGCTTTGATGGTAAGATCAGTAATAGAAGTAGTAGCAGCAGTGGCAGAAGTAGCGTAGCAGAAGCAGTATCATTACCAGTATCATTAGCAGTAGCAGTAGCAGCAGTAGTAATAGCAGTATCAGTATCATTAGCAGTTGTAGCAGCAGTAGCAGTAGTAATAGCAGTAGCAGTAGCAGTAGCAGCAGTGATCACACAGAGACAGAGACAGTCTGTGGTTGCAGACGTGTTTCGGGGCCAGAGTCAAACTTTGTGTTGAGTCCAGAAGTTGTTTACAGAGAAGTATTTATAGCTGAAGTGTAATTATACTTGTGACACTTCCAAGTTCAGTTCAGGTTATTCTCTCAAACTCAAACACAAGCTGAACACAATACCATCCATCCATCCATCCATTTTCTTCCGCTTTATCCGTTGCCGGGTCGCGGGGGCAGCAGTCTAAGCAGAGACGCCCAGACTTCCCTATCCACACACACTTCCTCCAGCTCGTCCGGGGGGACCCCAAGGCGTTCCCAGGCCAGCTGAGAGACATAGTCTCTCCAGCGTGTCCTGGGTCTTCCCCGGGGCCTCCTCCCGGTGGGACGTGCCCGGAACACCTCCCCAGGAAGGCGTCCAGGAGGCATCCTGAACAGATGCCCGAGCCACCTCAACTGGTTCCTCTCGACGTGGAGAAGCAGCGGCTCTACTCCGAGCTCCTCCCGTGTGACCGAGCTCCTCACCCTATCTCTAAGGGAGTGCCCAGCCACTCTGCGGAGGAAGCTCATTTCGACCGCTTGTATCCGCGATCTCGTTCTTTCGGTCATTACCCACAGCTCATGACCATAGGTGAGGGAGGGAACGAAGATTGACCGGTAAATCGAGAGCTTCGCCTTTCGGCTCAGCTCCCTCTTTACCACAACGGTCCGATACAGCGACCGCATCACTGCGCACGCTGCACCGATCCGCCTGTCAATCTCACGCTCCGCATCCTCCCCTCACTCGTGAACAAGACCCCGAGATACTTGAACTCCTCCACTTGAGGAAGGATCACTCCACCCACCTGAAGAGGGCAAGGCACCTTTTTCCGGTCGAGCACCATGGCCTCGGATTTGGAGGTGCTGATTCTCATCCCAGCCGCTTCGCACTCGGCTGCAAACCGTCCCAGTGCATGCTGCAGGTCCTGGTTCGTTGGAGCCAGCAGGACGACATCATCCGCAAAAAGTAGAGATGAAATCCTGTGGTTCCCGAACCGGACCCCCTCCGGCCCCTGGCTGCGCCTAGAAATTCTGTCCATAAATACAGTGAACAGAACCGGTGACAAAGGGCAGCCTTGGCGGAGGCCAACATGCACCGGGAACAGGTCTGACTTACTGCCGGCAATGCGAACACAGCTCTGGCTCCGGTCATACAGGGACCGGACGGCCCTCAGCAGAGGACCCCGGACCTCGTACTCCCGGAGGACCCCCCAAAGGACACCCCGGGGAACACGGTCGAACGCCTTCTCCAAATCCACAAAGCACATGTGGACAGGTTGGGCGAACTCCCATGAACCCTCGAGTATCCGATGGAGAGTATAGAGCTGGTCCAGTGTTCCGCGACCGGGACGAAAACCACACTGCTCCTCCTGAATCCGAGATTCGACCATCGGACGTAGCCTCCTCTCCAGTACCTTGGAGTAGACCTTACCGGGGAGGCTGAGGAGTGTGATCCCACGATAATTGGAACACACCCTCCGGTCCCCCTTCTTGTAGAGAGGGACCACCACCCCGGTCTGCCACTCCATTGGCACCGCCCCCGATCGCCACGCGATGCTGCAGAGACGTGTCAGCCAAGACAGTCCTACAACATCCAGAGACTTTAGATAGTCAGGACGGATCTCATCCACTCCCGGCGCCTTGCCACCATGGAGGCTGCCAACCACCTTGGTGACCTCGGCCAGGGAGATGGAAGTATCCGCCCCAACATCCTCAGCCTCTGCCTCCTGGACGGAGGACGTGACGGGGGGATTGAGGAGAACCTCGAAGTATTCCTTCCACCGCCCGACAATATCCCCAGTCGAGGTCAGCAGCCCTCCAACCGCACCATACACGGTGTTGGCAAAGAACTGCTTCCCCCTCCTGAGGCGCCGGACGGTTTGCCAGAACCTCTTCGAGGCCGACCGATAGTCATGCTCCATGGACTCTCCGAACTCCTCCCAGTCCCGGGTTTTTGCCTCTGCAACAGCCCGGGCCGCGGCACGTTTGGCCTGCCGGTACTGGACAGCTGCCTCAGGAGTCCCACGAACCATCATTGCTCGATAGGACTCCTTCTTCAGCCTGACGGCATCCCTTACTGCCGGTGTCCACCACCGGGTTCGGGGATTGCCGCCGGGACCAGCACCAGAGACCTTGCGACCACAGCTACGAGCCGCCGCATTGGCGATAGAGGAAGAGAACATGGTCCACTCGGACTCGATGTCCCCCTCCTCTGCCGGGACCTGGGAGAAGCTCTCCCGGAGGTGTGAGTTGAAAGTCCGTCTGACAGGGGGCTCAGCAAGACGTTCCCAGCAAACCCTCACTACACGCTTGGGCCTGCCAGGTCTGACCGGCCTCCTGCCCTGCCAGCGGATCCAACTCACGACCAGGTGATGATCGGTTGACAGCTCCGCCCCTCTCTTCACCCGAGTGTCCGAGACACGCGGTCGAAGGTCAGATGATACGACAACAAAGTCGATCATCGACCTCCGGCCTAGGGTGTCCTGGTGCCACGTGCACTGATGGACACCCTTGTGCTCGAACATGGTGTTCGTGATGGACAGGCCGTGACTGGCACAGAAGTCCAACAACTGAACACCGCTCGGGTTCAGATCAGGGGGGCCGTTCTTCCCGATCACCCCTCTCCACGTGTCACTGGCATTTCCCACATGGGCGTTGAAGTCCCCCAGGAGAATAACGGAGTCCCCGGGCGGTGCACTGT